GATGGGTTTAAACCAAAAACGAATTTTCCTTAGTAGTTATAGGGCTATTCAGACTATTTCTTTTTGAGTGGGCTTTGGTAGTTGTGTTTTTTGAGAAAATTTTTTATTTTACCTATTTATATGTTGCACTTACTGGCATAAAGTTCTTCATATATTTTCTTATTATTGTTTTAATATATATATAGAACCTTTACTGATGATACCTCTCATTCATCATGCTGATAATTTGTATCTTCTAAAATTTTATCAATTTTATTATCTCAAAGAACCAGCTTTTGGTTCATGGATTTTCTCTATTTTCCTGTTTTCCATTTTATTGATTTCCACTTTGATTTTTATTTCCTTTGACTTACTTTGGCTTTCATTTGCTCTTATCCTTCTCCTTCCTTCCTTCCTTCCTTCCTTCCTTCCTCCCTCCCTCCCTCCCTCCCTCCCTCCTCCCTCCCTTCCTTCCTTCCCTCTCTACACCCTCATTTCAGCAATAATTTCTCATTTCTTAAGGTGGAAGCTGAGGTAATTGATTTGAAACTTTTCTTCTTTTATCATTTAGTAAATCTCCTAAGTACTGCTTTAGCAGCATGCCACACATTTTGATACTGGGTTTCATTTCATTCCATTCAAGATACTTTCTAGGCCGGGCACGGTGGCTCAAGCCTGTAATCCCAGCACTTTGGGAGGCCGAGGCGGGCGGATCACGAGGTCAGGAGATCGAGACCATCCTGGCGAACACGGTGAAACCCCGTCTCTACTAAAAAAAATAGAAAAAAACTAGCCGGGCGCAGTGGCGGCGCCTGTAGTCCCAGCTACTGGGGAGGCTGAGGCCGGAGAATGGCATGAACCCGGGAGGTGGAGCTTGCAGTGAGCTGAGATCCGGCCACTGCACTCCAGCCTGGGCAACAGAGCGAGACTCCGTCTCAAAAAAAAAAAAAAAAAAAAAAAGAGACTTTATAATTTCTCTTTTGATTACTTCAATAGAGCCATAGGCTATTTAGAAATGTGTTACCTAATTTCCAAATAGGTGGAAATTTTCCAAATGTCTTTCTCTGATAGATTTCTAATTTAGTCAGAGAACCGATTTTATGTTACTTGGATCCTTTTACACTTACTGAGATTTGTTCTCTGGTCTAGGATATGGGCCTATCTTGTTAGAATATTTCGTGCTCACTTGAAACTAATGTATATTCTGCTGTTGGACTGCTGGATAGAATATTCAATAAATGTCAACTAAATTGAGTTGGTTGACATAATTTTCAAATCTTTTATGTCTGTACTGATTTTCTGTATACTTATTCTATAAATTATTGAGAGAGGGCTATTAAAATTTTTAACATTTATCAGGAATTAGTTTATATATTTCTCTTGGTAGTTCTGTCAGTTTTTGCTTCATGTATTTTAAAGCTCTGTTATTAGGTGAATATGCACTTGAAATACTGATTGGTTAATGGACCCTCGAGTAATTGACCCTTTAGTCATTATGAAATGACCTTCTTCACCCTTGGTCATATTCTTTGCTCTGAAATTTACTTTGTGTAACATTAAGATAAACTTTACAGATTTATTTTGAGTAGTATTAGCATGGTATATCTTTCTATCCTTTTACTTTTCACCTCTTCATGTCTTTTTTATTCAAAGTCATTTTTTTTAAGGCAGCATATAGTTGAGTCTTGTCAGTTTTTTAAAAGCCAATCTAACAATCTCTGTCTTTTATTTGGGATACCTAGACCATTTGCATTTAATACAATTATCCATATAATTAGGTTTAACTCTATCATCTTATTATTTGTTTTCTATTTGTACTATCAGTTATTTGTTTCCCCTTTCCCTCTCCTCCTGCTTTCTTTTGGAATAATTGAATATTTTTTATTATTCCATTGTTAGCTTTCTTTTTTTTGTTAGCTTATTAGCTGTAACTTTGTTGTGTTATTTTAGTGGTTGTTTTAAACTTTGTGGTATACATCTTTAACTTATCACAGTTTATCTTCAAGTGATAATGTACCACTTTGTATATATAAGAACCTTAAAATGTTACAGTTTCATTTCTTTCCTCCTGATCTTTGTGCTATTGTTATACATTTTTATATGTTATAAAATCCATATTACATTGTTTTTATTTTTGTTTACCAATTATCATTTAAAAATATTTGAATAACAAGAAAAACATTCTATGTGTTTATCTATGTAATTACTATTTCTAAAGTTCTTTATTACTTTGTGTAGATTCATATTTCTATCTGGTGATATCATTTCACTCTCCCTGAAGGAGTTTCTTCAACATTTCTTATAGTTCAGTTCTGCTTGTGATAGATCGTTTCAGGTTCTGCATGTCTTAAGGAACAGTTATTTCACTTTCATTTTTGAACAGTATTATTGCTGGGTATAGAATTCCAGGTTGACAGCTTTTTTTTTCCCGCCCCCCTCCTTTATTACTTTAACAAATGTGCCTCGTCATCACTGTCTTCTCTTTTGCATTGTTTTAAATGAGAAATTTGATGTTATCTTTGTCTGTACATATGTGTCCTTTATCTCTGGTGACTTTTAAGGTTTTCCCTTAAAAGCTCCATATTCTGGTTTAAGTAATGTGATTATGATGCACCTTGGACTAGTTTTTTTAAAAATTTTTTTTTGTCTTGGTGTTTGTTGAACTTTTTGGATCTATAGGTTTATAGTTTTCATAAAATTTGTAAAAATTTCAGTTATTATTTCTGTAAGCTTTTTCTCACCCTTTTATTTCTTTCATTGACTCCCATTACATTAAGCTGTTTGAAACTGTCTCAGCACTTAGGCACACCTGTTCTTTTTAAAAATTTTCTTTATTTTTTTTTTCTGAGATGGAGTCTCGCTCTGTCACCCAGGCTGGAGTGCGGTGGCACAATCTCGGCTCACTGCAAGCTCTGCTTCCCAGGTTCAAGAATTATCCTGCCTCAGCCTCCCAAGTAGCCACTATGCCAGGCTAATTTTTGTATTTTTAGTAGACACAGGGTTTCACTGTGTTGGCCAGGCTGGTCTTGAACTCCTGACCTCATGATCTGCCTGCCTTGGCCTCCCAAAGTGCTAGGATTACAGGCGTGAGCCACTGCGCCTGGCCAATTTCGTATTTCTATAAATATTCTTGAGCTCTGTTCTGGGACCCGTGAAGTTACTTGCTCTTTTTACGTCTTGCTTTTAAGATTTGTTAGGTAGGACTAGAAGTGTGCTCAGTCTAGGGATAAATATTCCCCATTACTGAGGAAATGTCCTTGTGCATACTCTGCCTAATGCCTGGTGAATCTTGAGATGATCTACTCTGGCAGCATGTGAGCACCATTACCTTTAATCATTTTGAATGGTTCTTTCCCTCACCTCAGTTTTCTCACACGTATGCACTGACTAGTACTCAGTTGAAGGCTTGGGGGACCCTCTGCCGATAAGCAGCTTTTCCTCTCTGTGCAGCTGTCTCTTCTCTGGTATTCTGTGTCCCATGAATTCTCCCGTCCACTTTGCCAGCAGATGACAGGTCCACGGTAGAGGAAATATCAGTATATCTGGCACCAGTAGTCTTGTCTCCGCCAATGCTCATAGAAGCAGAAGGAGACAGATTACTAGCTTAGTTCATTTCATGTTGCTACAACAGAACACCTGAGATGGGTCATTTATAAGGAACAGATATTTATTTCTTATCGTTTTGGAGGTTGGGAAGTCCAGGGCAGGAGTCCACCTCTGGTGAGGGCCTTCTTTTTCGTGTCATCCCATGGCAGAAGGCAGAAAGGCAAGAGAATATTTATGCAAAAGACAGAGAGCCAAATAAACCTTTTTTTTTTCTTTGACAGGGTCTTGCTCTGTCACCCAAGCTGGAGGGAGGGCAGTGGCACACTCACAGCTCGCTGCAGCCTCGAACTCCCAGGTTTAATCAGTCCTCCCACCGCAGCCTCCCGAGTAGCTGGGATTGCAGGCACAGACAGCCATGCCCAGATAATTTTTTTGTATTTCTTTTAGAGACAGAGTTTTCCCATGTTGCCCAGGCTGGTCTTGAACTCCTGGGCTCAAGTGATCCTCCTACCTCAGCCCCCCAAAGTGCTGGGATTACAGGTGTGAACCACCATGCCTGGCCCAAACTCACTTTTATAACAAACACATTCTCACAGTAATAACATTAATCCATTCATGAGGGCAGAGCCCTCATGACTTACATCTTACTAGGCTCCACGTCCCAACACTGTTGCAGAGGGAATTAGGTTTCCAACACACACACTTTAGGGGATACATTCAAACCACAACAATGACTGAAAGGGCTTCTGATTTCAACCTACTAAAAGACTACCTGACATTAAGAGCAATGATTTCTTTGAAAAGAATTATAGACTGTGGGCTTTGCCAATGCTCCTAGACATCTGTTTTTTAATAAGCTCCTTGTTATTGCCAAAAGTTATGTGTTAGGCAGTAATTGTTAAGTGGGAAACAAACTTTAATTTTTTTTTTTTTTTTTTTTTTTTTTGAGACGGAGTCTCGCTCTGTCGCCCAGGCTGAAGTGTAGTGGCCGGATCTCGGCTCACTGCAAGCTCCGCCTCCCGGGTTCACGCCATTCTCCAGCCTCAGCCTCCTGAGTAGCTGGGACCACAGGCGCCCGCCACCTCGCCCGGCTAGTTTTTTGTATTTTTTAGTAGAGACGGGGTTTCACCGTGTTAGCCGGGATGGTCTCCATCTCCTGACCTCGTGATCCACCCGTCTCGGCCTCCCAAAGTGCTGGGATTACAGGCTTGAGCCACCGCGCCCGGCCTGGGAACAAACTTTAATAGGTATAGACTGAAACTTTGCAGTGAAAAAAGGCAAGAGACCGTGTAGTAACACAGTGACTCTTGATCTCTGCTGTGGTTCCAAACATCTAGGCAGCTGTCTCCTGCGGCTTAGCATGTTCCCTACCTCCGAGATTCTGACTGGCAGTATGGGTTGGTCATGGGAGGAGCTGAGTGCAGACCAGGAGGAGAACAGACCCAGGAAATGAACAGCCTGTTTTCTAACCACAGGTGCCTTCTTCATCCCCTACCTCGTCTTCCTCTTTACCTGTGGCGTTCCTGTCTTCCTTCTGGAGACAGCACTAGGCCAGTACACCAGTCAGGGAGGCGTTACAGCCTGGAGGAAGATCTGCCCCATCTTTGAGGGTGAGTAGCTCTGTACCTGATTCCAAAGCATCTTCATTCATGGTTATGAGCCTTATTTGGAATGACTTGAGTGATTAGTAGCAATTCTGAGGTTAAGACTGCGAGTCTCTAGGCTAAACCCTTGGTTTGTGGGCTGCATGCTAAGCTAGTCAGCTGATCCATCAGAGAATGGGCGAGAAACAGCAGCGAGGATGGGGCTAAGGTTTTAGGTTAAGTAAGTAGAGTGCAAAGCTACTTTAGCTATATGTTTTAAATACATAGCTATGTTGTTGTATTTTAAGACATATTTAAATCAATTATAAAAATTTTAAAAGAGAACTTTAAATGAGAAAAAATTATTTCATTAATAGTTCTATCTTGGCTGGGCGTGGTGGCTCATGCCTGTAATCCCAGCACTTTGGGAGGCCGAGGCGGGTGGATCACCTGAGGTCAGGAGTTTGAGACCAGCCCGGCCAACATGGTGAAATTAAAATACAAAAATACAAAAAATACAAAAAATTAGCTGGGTGTGGTGGTGGGCACCTGTAATCCTAGCTACTCAGGAGGCTGAGGCAGGAGAATCTCTTGAACCTGGGAGGCGGAGGTTGCAGTGAGCTGAGATTGCACCACTGCACTCCAGCCTGGGTGACAAGAGGGAAACTCTGCCTCTTAAAAAAAAAAAAAAATTCTATCTTGATACAAGTATTTAAAATTTACAGTATTTAATTTCATTATTTCTCCATATATAGGATTTTCTTTAAGTTTTTATTTTGAAATAATTATAGATTGACAGAGAGTTACAAAAATAGCAGTTTTGCTCAATGATAAATTGAACTCCCAGCCTCAGATAATCCTCTCACCTCAGCGTCCCGCATAGCTGAGATGACAGGTGCATGCCACCACCGTCCACCTTCCCTAGCCCAATTCTGCAGTTTCCCCGCAGGCATTGGCTACGCCTCCCAGATGATCGTCATCCTCCTCAACGTCTACTACATCATTGTGTTGGCCTGGGCCCTGTTCTACCTCTTCAGCAGCTTCACCATCGACCTGCCCTGGGGCGGCTGCCACCATGAGTGGAACACAGGTACGGTCATCTCCCGAGGTTCTGCTTCCTCCTCCCGTTCTGCCACATTCACCGGAAGTGGGATTGTCCCTGTATCCCAGCTTAACACGGACACACCAGAAATCACCCAAGCAGATCATGGAGAGCTTATGTCAAGAATAAGATCGACAATTCACCAGCCTCACAGGCAAAATGTCAGGAACTTTTTAAAGAAAAAATTAACATCTTCAATGAGAACTGACCACTTTTATGTTGTTTAGCCATTTACTTAAATCAACTTGGAATATAGTTAGTTTGATATATGGATACGTGTCTTGTTCCTTCATTTGTTTCTCATATCTTCTTTCTGATACATTTTGGGTCTTTCAAACTTGCAATTCATCCGGACTTGCCTGTCGGGGTGGCAGAGGCGGGAGAAAATCCGCATACAAGTGGACCCGCACAGTTCGGATCCATGTTGTTCAAGGGTCCGCTGTGATTTATAATAGCAATTGCAGTCGTGTGTCACTGAATGACAGGGGTACACTCTGAGAAATGCACTGTTGGCATTTTGTCCTGTATGAACATCACAGAGTGCACACACACACCCCTACATGGCACAGCCCATCACACACCTGGGCTGCGTGCTGTAATACTGTACTGAACACTGTAGGCATGTGTAGCACAGTGGTAGGTGTTTGTGTATCTAAACATAGTGAAACCTAGAAAAGGTACAGTGAAGATGCAGTATTTTATAATCACATGGGAACACTGTCATATAGGTGATCCGCTGTTGACTGAAATGTTGCTGTGTGCTGCATATCTGTAATTTCTCCTGTGCTTGTAAGACTACCTGAGCCACCGTGGTAATAGAACTACTGACTCTAATGTGTAGAAAGTAACGACAACAGGCTGGGCGCGGTGGCTCACGCCTGTAATCCCAGCACTTTGGGAGGCCAAGGCAGGAGGATCACGAGGTCAGGAGATCAAGGCCATCCTGGCTAACACGTGAAACCCCGTCTCTACTAAAAATACAAAAAACTAGCCAGGTGTGGTGGCGGGTGCCTGTGGTCCCAGCTACTCGGGAGGCTGAGGCAGGAGAATGGCGTGAACCCGGGAGGCGGAGCTTGCAGTGAGCTGAGATCCGGCCACTGCACTCCAGCCTGGGCGACAGAGCGAGACTGTGTCTCAAAAAAAAAAAAAAAAAAAAAAAAAAAAGAAAGTAACAACAACAACAAAAATATCTAGAGCAATGCTGTCCAAAAGAACTGTCTGTAATGATGAAAATGTTCTTTGCACTGTCCAATACGGTAGCTATTAATACCAGCTACATGTGGTTATCTATTGATTTACCTTTTCTGGGCAGTCGCAGTGAACCAGTGTAGGTTTGGCGTGACTCCTACATGTGGTTATTGAGCATCTGAAATGTGGCAAGTGGTCGGAGGAACAGAACTTTGACATGTGCATTGAATGTTAACTTAAACAGCCACAGGTGGCTCGTGGCTGCCCCAGTGGACAGCGTGGCTGGAGAGCACAGGGGACACTCTTCAGCTTGGATTCTTGGCACATCCCTCCTTGTCCAAGTATCTTCCAGTGCCAGTCAGCGAGGCCCTACCCCTTTGAAGTGAGCTAGCCATGATTAACTCTTTCTTTCTTTTTTATCTTTTTGTTTGTTCGAGATGGAGTCTTGCTCTGTCGCCCAGGCTGGAGTGCAGTGGTGCGATCTCGGCTCACTGCAAGCTCCACCTCCCGGGTTTAAGCAGTTCTCTGCTTCAGCCTCCCGAGTAGCTGGGATTACAGGTGCCCACCACCACGCCCAGCTAATTTTTTGTATTTTTAGTAGAGATGGGGTTTCGCCATTTTGGTCAGGCTGGTCTTGAACTCCTGACCTTGTGATCCCCCTGCCTAAGCCTCCCAAAGTGCTGGGATTGCAGGTGTGAGCCACTGCACCTGGCCCAATTCTTTCTTGCTCAGATAAGTTACTCAATTCTGAACTGGAGTTTGAATCCTTTACTTACCTGGAAAAGCATTTTGCGTGGTTAGCATGATATTCTTTATCCCTTCATGACCTGACTCCTGTCTATGTCACCACCTCACCGTTACCTCCCTCGCCTTGTACTTGCTGCTCCCCTTCCAGGCACGTCTTTGTGTATCACCGCCACCACCTCCATTCCACCCTGATTTTTCAAAGGGAAAGTAAACCTTGGGGGTACCTCCTCTGATACCCCAAGACCGCATGAGGCTCTTCTTAAATGTGTCTGGTGGCACCTGCACTGGCCCCGGCCCTACTGCTGCACTTCCCTCACTTTTCTTCTGCTTGTTGACTTGATTTTCCCGCTAGTCATCAGATCGTGAGGGCAGAAAAGGTGTCTTTATCTCCACAGCTTCTGTGCCTAACACGGTGCTGGCTCTATCATAAGCACTCAAAACTATTGACTGAATGAATCGAGGTTTGAAGATCTGTTTTGTTATAATTAGTCTGGGGGCAGTGGCTCACGCCTGTAATCCCAGCACTTTGGGAGGCTGAAGCCAGTGGATCCCTTCAGCTCAGGGGTTTGAGACCAGCCTGGGCAAGATGCTGAAACCCCATCTCTACTAAAAATACACAAATTGTGCCGGGGTGGTGGCTCACACCCATGGCCCTCGCTACGTGGGAGGCTGAAACAGGACCGCTTGAGCCTGGGAGGTGGAGGTTGCAGTGAGCCGAGACTGTGCCACTGCGCTCCAGCCTGGGTAGTAGAGAGAGACTTGGTCTCCAAAAAAAATCTGTTTTATTGTAATTCTTTAGCTTTATGTATATATTTCTTTTCTTCGTTTTTATTTTATTTTTAAAAATATCTTTGTGTACTGAAACCAGCCTTGACAACCAGCTTGTCAGAGAGTAAAGATTTTATCCAGATCTCAGTGGAGTCCCTCTTAAAACGATTTTGTCAATTTTTGGTGGTCTAGAGCGTTTGCTTCAGGGCATCGTTAGGCCTATCTTCCTTTGGATCGACTGGCGGTCTCTGGGACAATTCTGAGGCAAATTGAATACCTGAGTGTTATTTTTTGACATTGTTGACATCTTTCCCGGTGAGCCTGGTTTTACTCAGAGCCCAGCATTTGAACAGCACAAGACACGCCGTCCTGCCAAGATGAAATAATGCTTTTCTGGGTGTGCTGCGGTGTCAAGGAAAGTGAATGGTTTAGTGGACAGAGCTCCCAGCTGGCCTTCAACCACCCAACAGATATTTGTTGAGCTCCTGCTATATGATACCAGGCTCTGTTCTGAGCACTGGGAATATGGTAATAAACAAAAACAAAGACCTCATCCTCCTGGCCACCCTCATTCTAGCGGTAGGAGGTAGAGACGTAAACAAAACAAGTGGCTGAGACGCGTCCGGGAGGTAGAGACGTAAACAAAACAAGTGGCTGAGACGCGTCCGGGAGGTAGAGACGTAAACAAAACAAGTGGACGAGACGCGTCCGGGAGGTAGAGACGTAAACAAAACAAGTGGCTGAGACGCGTCCGGGAGGTAGAGACGTAAACAAAACAAGTGGCTGAGACGCGTCCGGGAGGTAGAGACGTAACAAAACAAGTGGACGAGACGCGTCCGGGAGGTAGAGACGTAAACAAAACAAGTGGCTGAGACGCGTCCGGGAGGTAGAGACGTAAACAAAACAAGTGGCTGAGACGTGTCCGGGAGGTAGAGACGTAGACAAAACAAGTGGGTGAGACGCGTCCGGGAGGTAGAGACGTAGACAAAACAAGTGGGTGAGACGTGTCCGGTTAGAAAGCAGCAGGACATGTCATGTTAGAAGACGGGCTATGGAGGAAAATAAGACAGAGACTGTGAGTTTTATGGGTGGGGCTGCAATTTTCAGTGGCATGGTCAGGAGCGGCCTTACTGAGATGCCCCTTCAGCACTGGTCTCAAGGAGGAGGGGAACGAGGCATTGAGCTGGGGGACAAGAACTCTAGGAGGAAGGAGCTGGGGCGGCACCTAACACGCCCCGTGTGCGCAGGGAACAGGGTGGATGTGGGAGGGCAGGTGGCTGAGGGAACGGTGCGGGAATGGATCCAGTAGGGCCTTGAAGGCAACTAAAGGGGTTGCGGCTTCTTCCTTTGAGTGGGATGGGAAACCGATTGGAGGCCTTGACCTGGGGTGTGACATAGAGTGATCTAAGGTTTAACAAAATGGAGATTTCACGAGGGGAGCAAGGGTGAAAACTGAAGGCCAAGTAGGAGCCGGGAGCGGATGGTGCCTACCCTCTACCAGGGTGGTGGTAGTAGAGGTGACAAGAAGGATCCGTCTAGGTATTTTGAAGGTGGAACCCAGACAACTTGCTGACCTGGGTTCCGGCCTGCGCTTGCTCATTCATGAGCAGATACAGGCCATTTCTAAGGCGATCCACTGTCTTCATGGGCACAATGGGGAAAACAGTATCTGTTTTAATATTTCCCAGGATTAGGATTATTGTATTTATCAAACATAAAAAAGTCAATACTCTTTGTAAAACTCCAAAGTCACATACAAATAATGAGACCATTTATTGAGCACTCTACATCCATGTTTTCATTTAATTTCTTATCAATCCTACGTAATGGATCTCACTATCTGCATTTTAGAGACGAGGGAAGCCAAACACAGAGAACTGAGTTATAACTTACGCCCAGACGCACAGTTCATACCCGGGGGGTCAGCATTCAGGCCAGAGCCTTCCAGCCTGTGCTCTTGGCCATTCTGACACGTCACTTCCCCAGAAACCGTTCTTATTATTCCTCCAAGGTGGTGACTTTGCACAGCGTGCCTACCTAGAAATGTTAGTGTGCTTTGAAGCAGCTGGTCTGGAGAGCATCTTTCCTGTTGCCATCTGATCATGCTTAAGGAGAATATATACCCAAGCATCTATGTACCCACATGTCCAAGTGTGCAGTAGAGAGTCAGCTGCGTTTGTTGAGGTTACTGTGTGTGGGAGGATGTTTTGTGCAGATAACTTTAGCCTGGCTTCTGCCAAACACCTTCCTTCCCATTCTCCTAGAATTTCATCCCGCTCTCTAGTTGTGTCATATGCTGGCTGGTGATTTTTCTCTTTTTTCCCTCCTCGTGACCCATGGCTAGAACACTGTGTGGAGTTCCAGAAGACCAACGGCTCCCTGAATGGCACCTCTGAGAACGCCACCTCTCCCGTCATCGAGTTCTGGGAGTAAGTGAGACCCTTCCCCACCCAGTGTGGGCCATGTGTTCAGAAGAAGGGTATGGGGAGGAGGTCACACCAAGGTCACTCTCAATAGACAGCAAGGGAAGAATTTCCACTAAGTGGCTTTTTTCTGTGGTGCCCGTGTTTGTGGTTATTGCAGGACTCGTTTCAGAGATAAGACTCTTGCAGTTCTCCTTGGGCTGTGCCTGGCCTTCCTTGCCTGCACCCCTGCCGCTCGTCAGAGTGTGTGTGTGCATATGTGCTCTCACTCCGCACTTCCTCCTCCCTGTGGCTGCAAGTGTGTGGACTGTGACCCACCCCTCCCCCCAGTACTGATATTCACCCAGGGCAAGAATCCTGCTGTCAAAAAGTCCTGAAACCTTGGTTGGGAACATAGGTGCCTGCACCTCCTTCCCCTGGCTGGGGAGAAAGCACTTGGAGCAAACTTACCTGGGACAGTCTCCATTCTCCACCTTTCTGCAGTCTCCGTTCTCTACCTTTATGTCCACCTCCAGCTCTGCAGTCTCCATTCTCCACCTTTATGTCCACCTCCAGCTCTGCAGTCTCCGTTCTCCACCTTTACGTCCACCTCCAGCTCTGCAGTCTCCGTTCTCCACCTTTACGTCCACCTCCAGCTCTGCAGTCTCCGTTCTCCACCTTTACGTCCACCTCCAGCTCTGCAGTCTCCGTTCTCCACCTTTATGTCCACCTCCAGCTCTGCAGTCTCCGTTCTCCACCTTTATGTCCACCTCCAGCTCTGCAGTCTCCGTTCTCCACCTTTATGTCCACCTCCAGCTCTGCAGTCTCCATTCTCCACTTTTATGTCCACCTCCAGCTCTGGGCTAAGGATGTCCTCATGTGAAGAGAGCAGAGAAGCCTTTGGACAAGAGCCGGGAGGCACAGCTTGGCTCCACTGTCCCAGGAACGGGGCCACAAAACTGAGCAGAAAAAGTAAGCCAGGTTCAACCCTTCTTTCCCCAGGCGGCGGGTCTTGAAGATCTCTGATGGGATCCAGCACCTGGGGGCCCTGCGCTGGGAGCTGGCTCTGTGCCTCCTGCTGGCCTGGGTCATCTGCTACTTCTGCATCTGGAAGGGGGTCAAGTCCACAGGCAAGGTTCGTGTGGGGAGCTCCTGCCCCTCCCATCCCCGGACTCCCTGTCCTCACTAGGGGCTGTCACCCAGGAGTTCTCGAAGCTGTGGCCCCGTCGAGGATGGGAGGCGATGACCCAGCAAGGATTTGATGCAGCTTCCGTCCTTGCTTCTGTGCCTCTCCTGGATTCACGAGCTTCTGGATTTTGGGACTGGAAGAGAGCAAGAAGGACAGGAAGGACACCTCCAGGGTAATCTGATCTTGGAATTGATGATGTGTGGGCACATTGCAAATTGAACACGAGTCATGGTTCCCTAATTCATACAACAGTTCTTTGGAAAAAGAATTCCATGAAGACACTTCATCTCAAAATGACTCTTAACCCACTCAAGAATTCCGGGGGACTCTTTGCCCTGGAGCAAAGAGGGCATTCTGAATTCTTCCGAACTCTTGCCCTGGGGGCCTCTCCTAATCTGGCTGCCTGGTTGTGCTAAGCTATGTGAGGACAGGGGTCATGTGTCACAAATCTTTTCATATCTGACAATCCTTGCCATGAATGCCAAGCACACTTGTTGGGAGAATGCCAAATGTCATTCAGTCACTCAACAAATATTTATTGAATATGTGTCAGGGGAGGCGGGAGCTTTTAGCTGGAGGGAGGAAGGGAAGAGGGGAGGCTGTGGCTCAAGGGATAGGGGAGATGGAACTATATCAGGGAACCGGCCCCTAGTATTTCAATGTAGGTTCTTTCTATTTTCCATAAGTGTCAGCCAACTGAGAAATAAAGAGAGACAGTACAAAGAGAGGAATTTTATAGCTGGGCTGCCGGGGGCGACATCACATATCAGTAGGACCGTGATGCCCACCTGAGCCTCAAAACCAGCAAGTTTTTATTAAGGGTTTCAAAAGGGGAGGGGGTGTAAGAACAGGGAGTAGGTACAAAGATCACATGCTTCAAAGGGCAAAAAGCAGAACTACTAATAAGGGTCTAACAAAGATCACATGCTTCTGAGGGAACAGGACAAGGGGCAAAAGTAGAGCTACTAATAAGGGTCCAACAAAGATCACAGGGCAAAGGGCAGAAGCAGAACTACTGATAAGGGTCTATGTTCAGTGGTGCATGTATTGTCTTGATAAACATCTTAAACAACAGAAAACAGGGTTCGAGAGCAGAGAACCGGTCTGACCACAAATTTACCAGGGCGGAGTTTTCCCCCACCCTAGTAAGCCTGAGCGTACTGCAGGAGACCAGGGCGTATCTCAGTCCTTATCTCAACTGCATAAGGCAGACAATCCCAGAGCAGCCGTTGATAGACCTCTCCCGAGGAATGCATTCCTTTCCCAGGGTATTAATATTATATTCCTTGCTAGAAAAAGAATTTAGTGATATCTCTCCTACTTGCACGTCCACTTACAGGCTCTCTGCAAGAAGAAAACTATGGCTCTTTTTGCCCGACTCCACAGGCAGTCAGACCTTATGGTTGTCTTCCCTTGTTCCTCAAAAATCGCTGTTATTCTGTTCTTTTTCAAGGTGCACTGATTTCATATTGTTCAAACACATGTGTTTTACAATCAATTTGTACAGTTAACACATTTATCACAGTGGTCCTGAGGTGATGTACATCCTCAGCTTACAAAGACCACAGGATTAAGAGATTAAAGTAAAAACAGGCATAAGAAATTATAAAAGTATTATTTGGAAACTGATAAATGTCCATGAAATCTTCACAATTTATGTTCCTCTGCCGTGGCTCCCAGCCGGTCCCTCCATTCGGGGGGTCCCTGACTTCCCGCAACAGAACTAAACAGCTGCGGGCGAGCTGGGAGCAGGAGGAACACTCCCTTGACCTTTTCTGAGGAGCTCCTGCCCCTGCCTCCTGCCCCTGCCACTTCCTCACTCACAAGCTCCTTGTCTCTCATTTGCCCATGACTAGGTGGTGTACTTCACGGCCACATTTCCTTACCTCATGCTGGTGGTCCTGTTAATTCGAGGGGTGACGTTGCCTGGGGCAGCCCAAGGAATTCAGTTTTACCTGTACCCAAACCTCACGCGTCTGTGGGATCCCCAGGTAAGAAACCACAGACAGGAGCCCTCACGTGACTCCCAGGGCACCTGAGCTCCAGGCTTTCCCTGCACTCTGGCAGGGAACCCCTGCACCTAGCACTACCCTAGGATGTCCACAGTGGCAACAGGGGTGCACCCTTCCTTCTCTAGATATCTGTTTGTTGCTGGAAAGGGGTCCCAATCCAGACCCCAAGAGAGGGTTCTTGGACCTTGCACAAGAAAGAATTTGGGGGGAGTAGAATAAAGCAAAAGCAAGCTTATTAGGAAAGTAAAGGAGGCCAGGTGCGCTGGCTCACGCCTGTAATCTCAGCACTTTGGGAGGCCGAGGTGGGTGGATCATTTGATGTTAGGAGTTCAAGACCAGCCTGGCCAACATAGTGAAACCTCCCCCTCTACTAAAAAATACAAAAATTAGCCGGGCGTGGTGGTGGGAGCCTGTAATGCCAGCTACTCGGGAGGCTGAGGCAGGAGAATCACTTGAACCCGGGAGGCGAATGTTGCAGTGAGCTGAGATGGCGCCACTGCACTCCAGCCTGGCCAACAGAGTGAGACTCTGTCTCTAAAATAAAATAAAATAAAATAAAATAAAGGAATAAAGAATGGCTGCTCCATAGGTAGGATGCCCCAGGGCTACTGGTTGCCCGTTTTTATGGTTATTTCTTGATTATATGCTAAACAAGGGGTGGGTTATTCATCAGTTTTCCGGAAAGGTGTGGGCAATTCCCAAAACTGAAGGTTCTCCCCCGATTTCAGACCATAGAGGTTAACTCCCTTCGCATTTGTAAACTGTCATGGCACTGGTGGGAGGGTCTTTCAGGCATGCTAACGCATACTAATTTGCATGTAAAGAATGGTGAGGAAGACCAGAGGTCACTTCTGTCGCCATCTTGGTTTTCGCGGGTTTTGGCTGTCTCCTTTACTGAAACCTGTTTTATCAGCAAGGTCTTTATGACCTGTGTCTGGGGACGTGACGACCTCCTGTCTCATCCCGTGACTGAGAATGCCTCACCTCCTGGGAACGCAGCCCAGTAGATCTCAGCTTTATTTCACCCAGCCCCTGTTCAAGCTGGAGTCGCTCTGGTTCAAATGCCTCTGACGTGTTAGCAGCTGTTTGTGGTCATAAGGTGTCGGACACTGTCCCTTCTTGGGTTCACAGCTGCCGGGGAACCCAGGCAAATATTACTAGGGTAATATTTCTAGTAATGTTTCTCAAGGGCCCCAAGTGTCACTCACAGTCCTTACTTGGGTATCCTTCTCCCATCCTCTCCCCACCCACTTCATACATTTATCTCTTAGGGGCTTGTCTCCTACTGAGCTTCCTCTTTAATTCTTACCCCTCAATCTGCCTCCTGGTTCCCTCCCTCTGCCCATGTGACCCACGTCTAGGCCCCAGCTCCCTGGCCCTGCCCTCAGTCAGCTGGGCTAGTGTTAAGTTTCCCTGTCAGATGTCCAGAGACTCCGGGTCTCCTCCCCACCCTGCCTTCATGGTCTGCACTCCCTCTGCTACAGCTTTTTCACCGTCCGGGTAGGGAGAGCTGGTGTTGCCTGCTGCCTGAAGGGGGTTGAAAAGCAAGACCTGGAATGGGCCGCCCCTGCCTCTGACAGGTCTCTTACCTTCCCCTCTTTGGCAGCCAGTTGAAAGCTGGCAAAGCTAGGAGGTGTTGAGGGCCGGAGGGGAGCGTGGGTAATATCTGCCCCAGAGGCCCTGAAATGTTACCCGGTTATGCCCTGCCTCTGCCTCCTGGGCGCAGAGGCCACCCTGCTGGGGGAGTGAGTGTGCAACCTGGAGACCCTCCTCTTGTTGCTGGAGGATCTCTCTGTGTCTGTGAAAGAAGCCCCAAGGAGACATAAGGGCGAGTGGCTCCCAGCACATAGAAGACACTGGGATGGCTCCAAACGTTTTAAAATGGTCGGGCACCAGCATATTCACGACGTTGCTGACAGGGAGCAAGAGAAAGGGGACAGGCACACCGAGGCTGGGAGCTCCGTGCACACAGGGGCAACAGCTCCCCCTGGTGCGGAACGTCAGGCGATCCGGAAGCCACGCCGTTCTCCGTCTCCTGGCCGCTGCGGCCCGGTTTTGATTCTTTCATCCTGAGCTCTACTGGGACGCTGTGGCTTCCGGAAGCAGCCAGACCACTGCTCTTCAGAAACCTCCCTGCAGAGTCGAGTAGCCCTGGTCCTGAGTGTTTCTCAATAACCGTCTGGTGGGATAGAGGCTTATCTTTCCCTTCTCCCATTTCTCAGACAGCACAGAGATAAGATTGCTACTGCCGCATGTCCACGCTGGGTACTAGGGCTGCAGTCAGACTTTGGAGCCAAACTGTCGAAGCACAACTGGGATCCTTCTAGGACCCCAGTGCATGTTCCTCATTGTAAGATGAGCCCACCGTGGCCTAAGTTTGTGCAGCCAGTAATTATGGCAATTACCAGGCAAAGGATATCTTTGTTTTGTGAATCATAAGTCCTTTGACTTACCTAGAACCAAAGGGCTGTGGTGGACAGTAGGCGGCGAGCAGGAGTTGTGGGGGAAGCTGAGAGGAGGGGAGGCTTTGAAGGCCGGGTGAAGAGTTTGGCTTGGACTCCCCGCACACGAGAAAGCCACGGTGGTTCTGGAGCGGCAGAGTTGAGAACCAGTGGCTAAGCTACGAAGATCACTGACCACCTTTGTCCGCAGGTAGGCCAGAGAGGATGCAGGCAGGACCAGGAAAGGTGACAGGCAGGGAGGAAGGACAGAGGGGCTCAGTATTTCCACAACAGATTCACGGCTTTGTCCTGATCAGCTATTTACAGCTAACTACTAGGGCGTGCTTCCTCTGTCCCTGACATCGTTCAGAGGCTTACATGCCTTATTTCAGCAAACGCTCACAGCAGGTCAACCAGGCAACCCCATTTTATAGATTAGGACGTTAAGGCCTAGAGAGCTTCACGCATATTTTCACCCTCATACCTGCAGCTGGGACTGGGTCCGAAGGGTGACAAATGCCGTGCACTTTATGGTCCACTCTTGGAGACGAGGTCCCTGGCTGCTCACCTTTGTTTCTCTCACAGCTTATCAGAAAAAACCTGAATGAATCTACTACGAGTATCTACTACGTGCCGAATCTGTTCCAGTGCCATGTTTGGTACATAATAGCTTCCAGAAAACATAAAGAAGGTGGACCGGGTCGCTTTCAAGTTCTGAGCATTAATGAGGCCCTAAGTCTGTGTCTGGGTGACTGCAGGGACAAAGACCTCTTTCAGCCTGTGGTCCGGGATACCGTTCTTTCCATTCCAGCCAGCTTTGGGCCGTGCAGGCAGCGTCTGTCTTCCAAGTGCTTTGGGGCGGTGGGGAGGGGGCTGGGCCAAGTGCCAGGACGGGTCCTGAGCGGCCGCCTTCTCTGCCTGGTCCAAGTCTCATGCTGAAGCTGGGCCTTTGTTGTCAGTGAACACAGCAGCACCTGCGGGGCGTGGGGGCTCTGCCAGAGCCCTAATTGAATCTCGTTGGCACTCCCCGGGAAGTGTGATTATTCTCACTGGCATTTGCCTGGCACTCGAGAAAGGTGCAAAATTTCTTCTCCGCGACACAGAGACCAAAGGCGGATCTCTCTGCCAAGCACTGAGGCTGGCGGTTGGGGGCCAGGCAGAGACCACGCCGTGCTCCCCTCTTGTTTGCTCCCCTTTTCCTGCCAGGCTTGCTGTGTGGGGGGCAGGTTGCTGCCTTTCCCGGTGTTCCCAGGCCTTGTCTCGTCCCCCTGGAGAGTGGCCACTGGAGACCCAGGGCTCTGCTGGAGCCCTGCGCTTTGTTCAGGCCACTCGTTTCTTTCCTGGGTCCTGGCCCTGTGCCCGTTCTGCTGCACTTTAGGAGATTGCCAAAGGCGGGGGACAGGAGGAGGGCACCAAAGAGCCCTCCTGGAACCTTTTAAATCCCTACGTGAAGCAAGTCTAAGGAAAGGTTTGTTTAGGGAGGAAGTTGAAATCACCGATTAGAACTAGTCTTTATTTTAGCATTGAAATCCAATCTATGCCACCTCATTACCAATGAAAGATGAGTTGCTTTTTAAAATAATAGCAGTAAACAGTGGCCAAAGCTAACCTTATTGCGTCCTCCTTATTTGCCAGGCCCTTTGCCGAGTGCTTGACACAGTCCAACCCTGTGAGTGTGGGGTCAGCCTCATCTTACAGAGGGAGAAACAGAAGCTTAGGGAACCCAAGAAACTTGCCCAGAATCACAAAACTAGCACGCGGGGGAGCTTGGGTTGATCTCAAGTAGTTTTTCGAAGACTACTGTCTTATTCACCGTGATCGATATTTCCAAAGAATATGAATTATTTGGGAGTTTTAAGAGCTGCTTTTTATCATTCTAGAAGGTGAGATAGGAAACGAATATTTATTTATGTGTTAGGCATTTCACATACATTATTTTATTTGTTATTATACCCATTTTCCTCATGAGAAAAGGGAGGTTCAGGGAGGTTAAGTGAGTTGCCTAAGGTCACACAGCCAGCAATTAATAAAGTCAGGAATTGAGCCCAGATTAACGTAACTTCAGAGCCCGTGCTTTTCCGTCACACCACATTGCCTTCCTAAAAACAGTAGAGAGAGACGGATAATTCTGGGGGTTGGACTTGAGGCTGAAAACATTTCTCCCAGATCCCCTCTCTTCCTCTTTCCCCCCAAGACCTCTTTTTACCTGCGTTCCACCGAGCATTTTTCACACTTGTTTTTCCCTCGGTCGGCCTTCTGCCCTAGCCAAAGACATGTCAGAGCTTTCTTCCAGAAACCAGAGCTCCTGGCGTGGGCAGGGGGTGGGCGCCTGTGGTGGGAATGGAACAGCTTGCTCTGCGTGTCCCTCAGCCCTGCTTCTGACCCTGTTCTTTTCCCCATCCCAGCAGGCTTGTCGGGCAGCAGCTGTGTGGGGAGCTGCGGCTTGCCAAGCTCCCAGCGAGGGGGCTGTAGTCAAAGGCTTTGGTCAAAGAGTGCATTGACCCTTGTGCTCTGGGTTTCCAGCCCTCCTGCTGCATTTTCCTTGGTTCTCATTAATGTCTCCCCCAACTCAGTCTCCACATGACCCCACTCTGACCTCCCGCCCCTGCCGAGGCGAGGTGAATGGCCAAGTCACGATTTCTCTTATTATTCCTTCCCAAGCACAAGTTCACAAAGCTGCCCATCTCAGGCTTGTGCTTCTGCCTGTGTGTGGGCAGCTACAGTGTGCTTCCTTGGGAACTCATGGCCCGGTGTGCACCCAGTGCACTGCCAGGCCCGGGAGCAAACGTCCAAGGCGTGAGGCCTCCAGGCTCCTGAGCCACATCCTGAATGACCTTTGTGGGAGGAGGTGCCTGACCTCATGAAGGGGCAGTACCCAGGAGACACGCACTGGTCCTGAGCCCCTCCACCTCTCACCCTGGGGAAACGCTTTCTCTATAAGCTCAGGGCCTTTCGCCAGAAGGTCCTGCTCTTGAAGCTGCCAATAACGTAGCCGGTGAAGCAGGAATAAGATAGAACCAAATGACTTTCATGCCAAAGTCAGTGAGTTTTCCTGAGATGACTATCTGTGCACGATCTGTGTGGTAGAGTTTTAGAAGAGAAAAGGATTTGGAACATCTCAAAGGAGGAAACAGACTGGCCAAGGCATCTCAAAACTGGTGTGGCATCACACTGAAACTTTTTTTTTTTAACTGGGAGAAGCGAGACGCTGAAATTTGCAAGCACTCCCCTTGCCTGTCCTCAGGGTTTGTTTCCTTCTCTAGCATTCCCACCGTTTCCTTCTCTAGCATTTCATTCCTACCACTTCCTTCTCTGTGTGATTTCCTCACTGGCTCCAGCCCCTCCAAATCCTCCTCTGTGCTTCTTGCTGCTGACCCCTTGTTCCTGGTGGCGCCTCCTGCCTCACAGACCATCTCAGGACGGGATTCCCAGTGAACTCAAGAATGGGAGGCTGGAGACATTCTCCCCTTCCCCCTACCGTCTTCCCTACTCTGTCCCTGGCCCTGCAGAATGGAAACATGATAAGAGGATGGGTGCCCTGGGTGCACCCCGATAGGGGCATCCCATACCTGGTGACCATTAGGATCACCCAGGAAGCTCTGAAAAGGATACGAGTTCTGGGTTCTCCTTCAGGCCTAGGGATTTAGCGTCTCGACTGGGGATGCTGACTGAGGAATCGGCGTGATTCTGAGGCGGTCAGCCTGCTGATGGATCCCTCGGGCCCCTACACTGCTGAGGAATGTGGCCGCTTTGGTAGGGGTGAGCGTGAAAGGAGGGAGCAAGGGGTAGGGGCTGAGGGTGGTGACCATGCCTAGGCAGGCAGGCAAAGACCAGGAAGGGACTGAGGAATTGGAGGCCTGATATTAGCGGAAGGGAGTGATGAAAGCAATAGAGGGTTTTGTGGAAAGTAGGGGCCTGCTTGGGGGTACCGGAATGAGGCTGAGCAAAAGACACAGACAGGTCATCCGGTACCCTTTCCGTTAGGAACACAGACATGTGAGGAACACCTGCTTGGATGTCTGCGTCCATAGCGGGGTGCTCCCTGGCTGTGCGCACGTCGCCGGGGCAGGAGCGCCTGGGGAGGGTCCTGCAGATCTGCGGGGTCACTCGGTCCTGTTGCCTTGATGTTCTTTCTGTCTGGGATGTTATTCTAGCTGTTAGATCTAAATCACAACATGCACAGGCTGGGCGAGCCAGCTGAGATAATAACAATAACAGCCAACTCTATGTTTAGCTGGACTGTGATTTTTCCCCTCCCAAGCACTACAAAGCCCTTTTCAAGGTGTTTCTGTTCGTCCTTTTGCCTTTTTGCGGGCCGCGAATTACTCTCCCTGTCTGCAGACAGAGGTGGCTGAGATGTGAGGGGCAAAGCTATGTACTGGTGGGAGCCCTGATGTTAGGGAGAGTGTTCCGGAGACCCTGTGCCTGGATTCCTCCACACTGGTCACAGGAGAAAGTGGGGGCAGAACCTAGGATCCAAACCTTGACAGGAGACCTAACTTTGTTCTGGAGCCCTGTCCCACCCTCCTACACACTTCCACCACGGGTCTTTTAGTCTTTTTCGTTTTCTTTGAATGCTTAATGCCTGTCCTATCCTAGTAGTGCCCAAGAAACTTCATCCAGGAGCCCAGGGAGTAGAGCCCACTGGGGTGACAGAGGTCGCAGGATGCCAGTGTTGGCTGAGAACAGGTTTCTCACCATCCCTAGCCAGTGTCTGGCTCAGCCACGTGCCTATGTCCTTCCATGGCTTGAATGGCCCGGCTTTCCTGGGAGTTCACCTTTCTTGCCCTTTCCCTTTGTAGGTGTGGATGGATGCGGGCACCCAGATCTTCTTCTCCTTCGCCATCTGTCTTGGGTGCCTGACAGCCCTGGGCAGCTACAACAAGTACCACAACAACTGCTACAGGTGATTGGGGGCGTGGGGCCTGAGCCACACACCTGCATCTCTCTACTGTCCCTCCAGCCACGCTAGACGAGGGTGAGTCGGAGGGTGTATCAGCTCCTGGATCTGCCCCCCTGTCTACACTTCCATATCCAACACCCCAGGGCTACCAGGAGCTGCAAGGAGCCAACTGCAAGGTGGACAGAGAATTGCATCTGAAAGGGTGGGATAGTTGTGATTGGCTGGGGGACCACAGCAGGAGGATCTGGCCTCCTGGCTGATGTAGAGGTTGGTGGGCTCAGGAGTGCTAGGTAAGCAAGCCTGAGAAGCACAACAGGTCTTTGAATAATGTCGTTTCCTTATAACTTTGATGAGGAAAAAAAAACTGGTTTCATTATAGGTTGTTTTGCATAAAGTTGCAATTTGCAAGAATGTATCGATGAGAAGTGAGGTCCTACTGTGATTAGCAATGTCATGCATTGCACCCCAGTCTTGCCTGCTTGGTAACTCTGCCCCCAAAACTTTGAATCCTTACCCATTTTTCACACCATCTCCCTCACTTCACGTCCTGTCCCCATTGTTCTCTCCTTGCCTACCTGGTTTGTGCTCAGAAAATTTAAGCCAATTTTAATACCAGCTGAAGCATAGCTGAAATGAAATCATTCTTGTTCATCTCAACATTGAATTTAGGTGACTAAGAGTTACTTCTTGTTTGGGATCACCATGTGTCTATCCCTGTGTTGGCATGCCAAATGGGATCATGGCCGAGTGGTAGTGTCCCACGAGGAGTGGACCAGGATGGCAGAGAGGGGCGGCTGTGTGGCAGTTTGACACATCTAGATTCATGTTTTACTTCCCTGGAGCCTCATTCTTTCAGGACTACCTTGATTTATTCCATGCCTGGGCCGGGGGGGCCAGGGAGTGTCGGAGGAGAGCCCATGCTATGCGTGGTCCTCTGAATTCTGCCAGGTAGCCCTGCTCCGGCTTCCGTGAAGGGGCCAGGACAGTGTCCGTCAGGAGGGGCTGTGCTCCCAGACAGGAAGCGGGAGAGGCCGCAGCCCTGTTCTGATCCTGCCATTCCGCCCTCTCCTCACCCCTGCCCCACAGGGACTGCCTCGCCCTCTGCTTCCTCAACAGCGGCACCAGCTTTGTGGCCGGCTTCGCCATCTTCTCCATCCTGGGCTTCATGTCCCAGGAGCAGGGGGTGCCCATTTCTGAGGTGGCCGAGTCAGGTGAGTGTTTCTGGGGCGGCCCGGAGGCGGGGAGCCTGGCTCAGACCTCTGGCAGCGAGGGTCGAGAGACGTTTCTGCGTGTCGCCTCCACTCGGGGTGAGCTACGGCCACCATTCAGTGGATGCATTCCGGGATGGCTTGGGGGAGAAGTAATTCCAGCTTCAAAGAGGAGGCATGTACTGAACATTTTTCTTCCCATCCTTGGCTTCCAGTTCATTACCCTGGAGGCAGCCAATGTTGTCTGCTTCGTGTTTATCCTTCCAGAAATAGTTTAGACATATATGAGAAAAAATATATACACAGACATATACATGTGATACATATTACTATTTCTATTTCTTGCCTCCTTCTTAAAAAACCAAATGATAACACACTATATACACTGTTCTGTACCTTGCCTCATTTTGTTCATTTTAAAATGAATCTCAAGGGCAAGTTTCTATCAGCATATAGAGCTTCCCCCGTTTGTGAGTGACTGCCTTTCCGCCATGCAGTGCTGTTGTTGCTGCTTTCAAATAACATCAAGGCCCAGGCTCTGATCTGAATAAGCCGTAAAATGTTGCTCTTGCTCACCTACTTTTGCCCTGTAACAAGATGATTTTTTTTTTTTGAGACGGAGTCTCGCTCTGTCGCCGAGGCTGGAGTGCAGTGGAGCGATCTCAGTTCACTGCAAGCTCCGCCTCCCGGGTTTACGCCATTCTGCTGCCTCAGCCTCCCGAGTAGCTGGGACTACAGACGCCCGCCACCTCACCTGGCCAGTTTTTTGTGTTTTTTAGTAGAGACGGGGTTTCACCGTGTTCGCCAGGATGGTCTCGATCTCCTGACCTCGTGATCCGCCCGTCTCGGCCTCCCAAAGTGCTGGGATTACAGGCTTGAGCCACTGCGCCTGGCACAAGATGATTTTTTACCATGGCATTCAGAAGCACGCCTGGGCCACACAGGATGCCAAGCCCTGGGCAGGGGAGGTCTGGGATTCTCATTAAGGATAGTCTCTCTCGCTTTTTTTTTTTTTTTTTTTTTAACTTTTTGAGAGGGAGTCTTGCTCTGTCACCCAGGCTGGAATGTGGTGACATGATCTTGGCTCACTGCAACCTCCGCTTCTCAGGCTGAAGTGATTCTCGTGCCTCAGCTTCCTGAGTAGCTGAGATTACAGGCATGTGCCACCATGCCCGGCTAATTTTTGTATTTTTAGTAGAGACGGGTTTTCACCATGTTGGCCAGGCTGGTCTTGACCCCCTGGCCTCAAGTGATTCACCCACCCCAACCTCCCAAACTGCTGGGATTATAGGCATGAGCCACCGTGTCTCACTTTCTAAGTGTGGACTGTATGCCAGGTGCTGGGCGAGGCGTTTGGCTTGTACCATGCAACGGAAACCTGTGGGGCAGGCCCTGCACAATCCCCACCTCACCAGTGTGGGAGCTGGGACGGGCAGAAGCAAAAGACCTCCAAGGTCACAGTGATGCCCTTCACTTTCCAGAGGAACTTCCCATGGGGAGACCCAGGCTCTGTTATGTGCATTTTTTTCCTGCCACACGAGTCAGTTGAGAGAAGCGTTCACGAACCGTGAGGATGTGGGTCAGCAGCACTCTGCACTCGGTGCCAGCGTCGTCGTAGGGTGACAGAAAGGGCTCCAGGCACAGAGGTGGTAAACTGGAGGCCCCAGGCCAAACCTGGCCTTGGGGCAATTTTCTTTGGTACCATCTACATTCCTTACAAATACAAGAAATCATCGCTAGCAGCTGGGGCCTGATCGCTCCGCTTCTCACCAGGCCCTGCCACCTCCTTGTGTTTTGCACCGGGTCTGCTTCACACATGTCTATGGCCTGCTGGCTTCTGAGCTCATTCTAGGCTTGAAACCTCAGGTCTGTACAATAGATCTGGAGATCTGGAGTCCTTTTAGGCCCACAGCCCTTTACACCTACCATCTCTAAATTTTGTTCTTGCCAATGAGAATGCAGTGAGAGGTACCTTGGAAATCCGAGAAACGGGTGGAGGTTGGGGTGGCTTCTCCTGGGTGAGGATGGTGGTGGCGATAGTAACTTTGGGGTGAAGTTTCCTCTAGCTCCTGGTATTCCACGGTCCCACACTGGGAAGCCATGGGTCACACACGGCCTGGAGCCGGCCCAGGCACTGGCCCGTGTTCCTCTGCTCCTTGTCGTAGGCCCTGGCCTGGCTTTCATCGCTTACCCGCGGGCCGTGGTGATGCTGCCCTTCTCTCCTCTCTGGGCCTGCTGTTTCTTCTTCATGGTCGTTCTCCTGGGACTGGATAGTCAGGTATCAAGAGGCAGCCACTCAGGGGCTGAGAGATGAGTGGGGGGGTGTGTGCTGGGAGGAGGAGCAGCGGGCATGTGGTTGAACTGTATGCCCCGAGGGCCCGTAAACTAGCTGGGGGCTGGGTGAATGTCAGACGAGGAGGCCCTTTCGGGGGCGCAGGGGAGCTTGAGGGTGAGTCCTGACCTCACCAGGCAAGGACAATGGCTCTGGGGACCTGAGAGAGTGAGGCTGGCAGGGCTGATCCTGGGAGCGAGAAGCCAGCGCTCAGGGACAGGGCATCTCGGGAGCTCTCCTTGCCTGCAATCCCTTTGCCCTCTCATCCAGTTTGTGTGTGTAGAAAGCCTGGTGACAGCGCTGGTGGACATGTACCCTCGCGTGTTCCGCAAGAAGAACCGGCGGGAAGTCCTTATCCTTGGAGTATCCGTCGTCTCCTTCCTTGTAGGGCTGGTCATGCTCACGGAGGTGAGGGCCGGGGAGGCGGGGGACGACGGGGAGGAGGAGCTGAGTGACAGCTGCTACCTGTCAGTGAGGCAGATGCCCTGGCTTCGGGTCAGGGCAGGTCTTCCGGGCTTCCGGACACTAGGACTCCCTCTTTTCCCCATCCCAGGAAGGACAAAGTAGGCAGGTCCCTCCTCTGGCCTTTGGGCACAGACCACCCACCTCCAGGGATGGGTGAGGAGCCATTTGGCTCCCCAGTAAGTGAAGAGGTATGTGGAGCGCTGGATTGGGAGAAGCTGCATCTCCAGCAAGATCTGGTGATTTCCCAGGCAGCTGAACCGAGTTCTGTGTACAAACTTCAAAGCGAGAAAGGGAGCCCTGGGGCTGGGGAACGTTCCGTGTGCCGTCTGGAGGGAGAAGGAGGGAGACGCAGCTTGTCAGCTTGACAATATCAATGACAGCCCTTATCCTAATCCTTTCCCCAGAGAGGACACGCTATGTCTTGGGCTTCGGGGCCAGTCCCTAAGTGTTCTCAGACATACTCTAACAATCGCTGTCTTATTTCATCTATCTTCTGTCTCAAAACAATAATAAAAATAATTAGCGTCTCATATCTGCCTCGTGCTTTACGCCTTACAAATGACTTCTCTTTTGTGATCCGTCTCCTGTGATCCTCACCAGCTCTGCTCGGTGCCTCCACCGTGTGACGCTCAAGGGCGTAGGAGGGAATCTGTCTGTTCCCACTGGATGAAGTTCTTTTTACAGCTTTCTCCTCCCGTGCAGGGCGGCATGTACGTGTTCCAGCTCTTCGACTACTACGCCGCCAGTGGCATGTGTCTCCTGTTCGTGGCCATCTTTGAGTCCCTCTGTGTGGCTTGGGTTTACGGTGAGTGACTCCTCCCCTAGGTCCCCGCATCCTCCTCTTGTCTAAGGATCTCGGGGCCCTTAGACACGAAACAGGCATCCACTGCTCACACTTACCTTTTCCTGGGGCGCCTCCCTACCCAACCTCAAAAATCGGGCAAATCCTAAATTGCTGCCTTTGGAAGGCCCCCCGGACGCTGCCTTGCCCACAGTCTTGGTTATAGCTGTACCTAGACCACCTCAGGTGGGCCCGTATCCCGCCCTGTCCAAACATTTTCAGCTTTTGACAACCTCGATAACCAGGAAGTGACTGCCCGTCCCCAGGCCAAGGCCTGCTTGCTGCTGTTTCTGCCTGTGAGAGCCAGGCAAGAGCTTTCTCCCAGCAGCGATTTGAACAGACAGCTGTGATGCCATCTCTTCATGGGTCCCCGCCCGTTCTGGTCTGTTTGTGGCCCCCTCCTGATGTTCTGGGTGCCGAAGAATGACTCTCCCGCTTCCTTCTTCTTTTCTGCATGGTAGGAGCCAGACGTTTCTACGACAACATCGAAGACATGATTGGGTACAGGCCGTGGCCTCTTATCAAATACTGTTGGCTGTTCCTCACGCCAGCTGTGTGCACAGTAAGATCATTTCAGGGATACAGTCAGATGAAGGGAGGGAGAGACGGTGGCTAGCAGGGTAGAGAAGCCGTTAGCCCTGCCATGGACTTCTCCCTAGGAACTGAAAATCATCTTAGGCTTTCACTCATCCTGCTTTTGGATTCTAGAAAACTACAGCAAGATAGATTCTTCCTTTCCATGTCACAGAAGGATAAACTGAGGTCCAGAGCTGTCAGACGGTTTGACCAACACCACAGTGTGAGTCTAACGTCACAGGCCAGGACTGAACCCGGGTGCACTGGACGGCTCATAATATTCTAATCACCACAGCAATGGTAAAAGCGGCCAGTACAGAGCACTGGCTGGGTGCTGGGCCCGAGGTGCTTGAACACGTATTAACTCATTTCATCTTCACAAAAGCCCCATAAAGGAAGTGCTGCTGTTACACTGGTGTTACAGATGAAGCTGAGGTTGAAGAGGTGGTTAAGCCACTGGCCCGAGCTAGAAAGTTGCAGAGAACTTTGGCCATATCTCTTTGTGTCAGCCGTTCCCAGGCCCCCACTGTGTGCAGGATAAAACTGAGGGGCAGCGGGAGAACGAGGCATGGCCTCTACCCTCGAGGCACTCATACCCCAAACTCACGATGCAGGAGGGGAGGGAAATACCTCACAGCACGCAGTGGGCACACGATCATGTCCTAACTGGGAGTCAGCTGCACGTAGAGGTGCCCAGGGGCACAGGGGCCCTGGTGTGGCAGAGTCTACTGCTGGGGGGTGTGAGTTTCGGGCAGAGTGTGGATGGAGAAGATTGGAGGCCGACTGGCCCAGAAGAGCCTAAAAGGAATTCAGGCTCGGAGGATGATTTCTTCCAGGCTGCTGGGGGTGGGGGAGCTGAGGGCACAGGCCCCGCCCCCAACCCCTTTCTCTTCCGTTCCCCCCCAGGCCACCTTCCTCTTCTCCCTGATCAAGTACACTCCGCTGACCTACAACAAGAAATACACGTACCCGTGGTGGGGCGATGCCCTGGGCTGGCTCCTGGCTCTCTCCTCCATGGTCTGCATTCCTGCCTGGAGCCTCTACAGACTTGGCACCCTCAAGGGCCCCTTCAGAGAGGTAGAGCCTTTGTGGGCAAGAAAGCAGCCCGGGGGGCTGGGAGGCTTCGCAGGAGCTGGCAGGTGGATGGCCAGCCGGGGTGCACACAGTTGTACGGAGGGGCCCGCGGGCCTAGCCTGGGTGTCAGGGAGCGACAGAGGGGCTGCTGAGAAGTCTCAGGAAGAGACAGGGTGACTCCCAGACAGGAGCTGTGATGACAGGAGGGCAGGTGTGTGTGTGGGGAGGCAGGCAGATGTTGGTGATGAGGGAAGCTGGCAGACCTGCCCCCACTCTGCCCCCTGACAGCCGCCTCCGCGCTCCCTGCAGAGAATCCGTCAGCTCATGTGCCCAGCCGAGGACCTGCCCCAGCGGAACCCAGCAGGACCCTCGGCTCCCGCCACCCCCAGGACCTCGCTGCTCAGACTCACAGAGCTAGAGTCTCACTGTTAGGGGCCGGCCCTGGGATGGTGCCTGTGAGCCTGGCCGTGGGGATGGCTGCAGAGGGGACAGGGCAGAAGCAGCCGCATGTGCTTCCCTGCCCCGCACCTGGAGTGGATAAGACAAAAGGGGTGTTTTGGAATCCACCTGCCGAGCTGGAGGCCTCCCACTCCGACTTTTCAGCTCGGGAGTTGCTGAACAGATGTGCAAGGCCAGTGCCAAGAGTGGCCCTCTGAGACCCTTGGGAAGCTGGGTGGGGGCTGGTGGGTGGGGCGAGACTGTTGCTGGCTTCGGGCCCCCTCACCCTTCATTCCATTAAATCCACATTCTTCCCGCTGACTGCTAGTGGTTCTGTCTGATTTCTGCCCCTCTGCCTGGCTGCCTTGACCCTTCCCCATGCTACAGTTGTGACTTTAGGACCTTGCCCCTCCCCATCATAGCTTCCCCCACTGAGTTCTCCCTGGGGCCCACTCAGCACGGTGATGGGGGGCTGGTGGTGGGGCCAGGCTGAGGGCCTCCATCATCAGGCATCTGGACCAGAGGGGGCTGCCCCGCCTCTCGCCACACGTCCTCAGCTTCCTTCCTCCTCCTTTGCGCTGTGGAATAAGAAAGGAAATTGAGGGACGCGTGAAGGAGACCCGAGTCCTAGCCAAAGGAACGGCGAAGGCTGGTGGCAGCTTCCTCCTCCCCACGTTCCCTGCTGTGTCCTCGCCTACCCCCAGCGGCCAAAACTGTGCCCGTGTGCCCACCGAGGCCGGGCGCGGGGGACGTGGGAGAGGGCTGGCTGTGACCACGCCCAGTGCAGCAGGTTCGGGAGCCTTGGCAGAGGAGGGCACTGCCTGGCCCGTCCGGCAGAGGAATGCCACTTCCTTGGGACCGCCTCGCTCTTCTGAGGATTGGAGACACCGGATGCCGGGGCACCGCCAGATGTGGCCACGAGGGGGTGGTGCTGCCGTGGCCACAGCGCTGCTGTCAGGGCCTGAGCTGCAGGGAGGAGCGAGGAGCTCTTTCGGGTGAGGCTGCAAAGAGGATCCAGGTGGAAGGAAGTCCACCCCCGCTCGGGGACAGTGGGCATGGCGGAGGGGGTGCCCAGAGGGTGCCACAGATGTGTCTCTGCAGCCTTACCTCTGGATATGGGCATGGAGCCAGGGCCCACATATTTCTGGCTGTTGCTTTTTTTTTTTTTTTTTTTGAGACGGAGTCTCGCTCTGTTGCCCAGGCGGGAGTGCAGTGGCGCTATCTCCGCTCACTGCAAGCTCCACCGCCTCCCGGGTTCACGCCATTCTCCTGCCTCAGCCTCCCGAGTAGCTGGGACTACAGGCGCCGCCACCATGCCCGGCTAATTTTTTTTTGTATTTTCAGTAGAGACGGGGTTTCACCGTGTTCGCCAGGATGGTCTCGATCTCCTGACCTCGTGATCTGCCCGCCTCGGCCTCCCAAAGTGCTGGGATTACAGGCGTGAGACACCACGTCCGGCCACGGGCTGTTGCTTTGTGTGTGGTTTTGGAAGTGGTTGCGCACACGGCTACATCTCTCCTGGCCTATGCACGGGCTTGGGGGTCTGCCCTTGTGCCCACCTTTGTTCTGATGGGTCTTCTGATGCTGCCCTTGGTGTGTCCCGTGATTCTTAGATCTGCAGTCTGAGGGTGCACAGGCTTCCCTGGGTGATCTCAGTTCTTCACATGTCCATTAGTGGACAAAAATGCACTGAAATATTTGCTAGTCTTCAATTTTTGACTTTTTGTCATTGGAAGAGTTGGTGAAGATTAATGACAGCTGTCCTACTGTATGTCAGCCTTAGCTGCCCTTCCCTGGAGAATGACTGCTCGGGCATTCCCCCAGGGTGCTGGGCTCAATCTCAGTCTCACCGGGGGAGAAATACGTTTGCTGGAGAGGCAGGCCGGAACTCGAGACGCTGCAAGACCCGCAGCTCCATCCATCGGACACTATTGACAGAACACCTCCCGTGTGGTGCGGTGCTGGGCTCGCGGTGCCCTGCTGGGCTCGTGGTGCCGTGCTGGGCTCGTGGTGCGGTGTTGGGTTCGTGGTGTGGTGCTGGGCTCTGGTGCCGTGCTGGGCTCGTGGTGCCGTGCTGGGCTCGTGGTGCGGTGTTGGGCTCGTGGTGTGGTGCTGGGTTCATGGTGCTGTGCTGGGCTCGTGACACACCAGGAGCAAAAACAGACACAATTTCCTAAACAATGAGTGACAGATACCATGACAGAAAAGAGCAAAGAGCTGTGGAAAAGGATAACTGGGGTGGGGCAGGACCTCATGGTGCAGGTTGGGTTCTAAGGGTACCTGTCTGTATCCATCCATCTGACCAAAGTTGCCAGAACTGCCAGCCTCGGTGGAATGTGAGACTCAGATGTGATCTGAGTCGCATCTAGGAGCGTCCTGATGGTGGAACATGGTGTGAGAGTCACCTGTTGGTGTAAGAATCAGGAGATGTGGTGCCAGCACTTGCTGGGTGTCTTTGGGCAGCCGCTTGGAATTCAGGTTCTTTGCTCTGCAGTTGAAGATAATGCCAGGTGCTCCTTCTCCAAGCAGGCTTGTTGTGGGGCTCAAAGGTGGTCATGGGTGTGAGGGTCCTTTCAGTCACTTGGTGACACACGGTGTGAGGTCATCGAACTCGAAGGAGGTGGCCAAGGGGATGAGGCTGTAACCGCAGGCGGGGCTGGCAGGCAGTGTGTGAGAATGCTGCTGGCTTGGGTCAGGGGTCAGGGTTGACGGAAGGAAGCAGGAGTACCTTGGCCTTAGCCAGTAGGGCTGAAGAGATGGGGGTGGGGTGGGGGTGGGGGTGTAGGGCAGCCGAGTCAGTGACACCTGCTTCCCCAGCCTGGAAGGGTGGGCCCTGTATCGTGGAGTTCCCAGAGAAGAAGACCCAAAGGAAGGGGCCCTCTCTTGTCTGGAGGCCACACCTGTTAGAGAAGAAAGGCAAGCAGTGAGAGCCCGGGGGCACGCTGAACAGGGAGAGCAGAAGCAGAGTTACAGGAGAGTTACAGACTATGCCCAGGGCTGTGGGGAAGCAGCTTGTTAGACACTGAGCCCACCAGGCTGCGTGGGGCCTCAGACCTTGCCCACATGGACACCCGGGTCTCAGATCCATACACAGCCATGCAGGCACCAGCCCCTCCTCATCCTCAGAGACAGGTGCACATGTGCACCAACTCAGAGACGCCACAGCCAGCTGGGCGTACTCCTTTAGAGGGGCTTGCAGGCCTGGCTTGGATCCTGGCCCTTTTACATACTAACTGTGTGACCTTGGGCAAGTGTAATCTCTCTGATCCTTAGTCTTCTCTTCCATAAAACAGGAATACCACTACTCACATCAGTGTTGTTAGAGTCCAACAGATGCTATAGGGACAGCTGCCCTGGGGAGCATTCGGGCAAACCCATCCTATTTCCCATAGCTCCAGCCCCACCACTTCGGGCTGCCAGCATCACAGGAGAGCTCAGGAAGAGTTTAGAGATACCCTTGCTGTCCCCAGTCTCAGACTAGGTTGCACTGGAGGGAGAGGTAGTCCTAAAATAATTCTGCCTCCGGTGGCCTGAGAGTGCTACTCCGCACAGCAGCATCGTCCAAGATAAGCAGGACCTGAGTCATCTAAGCCCTCTGATTCTGGGGAAACAATGTCCTCCCAGAAAAGGGAAAACTGTGATCATTTTTCCCCCTTCAAGTTCCATCCGTCCGTCCATCCATCCGTCCATCCATCCATCCGTCCGTCCATCCGTGCGTCCATCCATGCGTTCGTCCATCCATCCATCCGTCCATCCGTCCGTCCATCCGTCCATCCATCCGTCCGTCCGTCCGTCCATGCGTCCGTCCATGCATCCGTCCATCCATCCGTCCATCCGTCCGTCCGTCCATCCATCCGTCTGTCCATCCATCCATCCATCCATCCGTCTGTCCATCCGTCCGTCCGTCCGTCCATCCATCCATCCATCCATCCATCCATCCATCCATCCATCCATCTGTCCATCTGTGCGTCCATCCATCCTCCATCCAGTAAACACCGAGTGCCTTTTCTGAGGCAGAATTGTATTACCTGTGAGAGGCAGAAATAACGAATTATGAAATGAGACCCCTGCCCTATCGATATCCATGGTCGGGGGACAGTATGCTACAGTGGAACAAGCATAGATTTTTGGAGCCAAGAGGCCCAGGTTCAAATCCCAGCACCATCACTCACTCGTGTGTAGCCTTCGGACAAACCACGTAGCTTCTATTTACTCACCCCAGTTTCCCATCTGTAAAATGGGGCTGATGATTTTTACATTTCAAAGTTCTTAAGGGGATGAAATGAAGTAACATGTGAAACTCCTCGTCTGAGTTAGATGCTCAGGAGTAAGTCCTATTCCAGGCCCTCCGAAAGTACGCATGGGGTTAGAAGATGAGGGTGGTGAGAACGTTCTGTGGTGGCCAGTGGTTCCTACCTCAGCCAAGGTAATAGATTCATTTAGCTACACGTCATCTTCACTCTGCACGCTCCTCAGTGTGGAAACAGCCCAGGCTCAGCTAGGCATCCCAGGATGCCTACCTTTTGCAAAGGTGAGAGTCTCTGGCCTCCAGGAGTTTACTAACTGGTCTGAATACTAAGTGGGTGTTGGAGGCTAGGAGAACTTGAGTAAGGAAGGACTCAACATTAAGATGGTGGGACTAAGGCCAGAGGTAGTCAGATAAAAACAGGGAGGAACTAGGTAGCTGTTTCGGGGGCAAGTCAAACTGCACTCCCCGGGCCAGGTCAACCAGGCAGCTGTTCTCTGACAAGGTGAAGGAGAGGAGACAGGACTGCTGGGCTGTTGCTGTTCGTCCTCGCAGAAAGCATGTCACACCGTAGGCGCTAAATGTAATTTTTGAGGAAAACTCACCCTCGTGGGTTGCCAGATCCTCTCCCCTCTTTCTCATTTTTATGCAGAGGCTCGTATTTTGTTCTGCAGTAGCTACAGCTAGGTGATCGCACGGACTTTGATGTCCCCTCTGCAATAGCTCTATGGTCAATCCACGGTGGACCTGACACTCAGGGACAGGCCACACCTGAGCACCGGGGTGGCTCAAGTATGGATTCTTGCTGGGCCACGTCCTACTGTGCCACGGCTGACCCCCAGCCCGGCTGCTGGTTTCGTAGAGGCAATGGGTCTGAGAGCTGAGACCTGCTCTGCCTTCCTCATCATGTGAAACCCCACAGGAGATGCTGAGAGGGGACCGAGAGACACACAGTGGGGGTGCTTGATGGAAAACTACAGACTGAGATTCTCACTTCACACCCCACCCCTGCTGAGAAGTTCTAAAGTACAAAGAGGAAGCACATGTAAAAGGAATTTTCCCTTTCTCCCCACAACTTCCTCTCCCTTCATGCCACCTAGAGCTGAAGAAGCATCTCCTTTGCTTGAAGGAGGCACCGGCTATTCTGAATGAAGGGCGGTGGGACGGTGCCGCACCCAGCACCAGGTGGACGTGCTCAGGGACAGTGACGAGGACACTGTTCTGGAGGAACTCACTGGGCGCACGGCATAGGGCACATGTATTCAAAAATACCCTTCCCCACTGATAGCTGCCAGGCCACTCCAGACAACTTCTAGGTAGGTGCCTGGTGCTGTGCAGCGACCAGAGGTGCCTGGGAGCAGATACCCCACTGTCCCAGCCTCTGCTTCCAGAGGACCCACACCCCCCGAAGCACCTATGATATCCCAGCACTTCACAGCAGCCCCGCAAAGTCGATACTGTATTGTTACCTACGTTTGACAGACTGGGAAACCGAGGCTGACCCTTGTCTAGCTGTCGTGACTGATACATGATAGAGGAGAAGAAACTCAGGTCTGTCTGGTCCCAAGCCTGGGTCCTGTCTACGTTGCTTCTTGAGATATGCTCTGGGTGCTTTCTCTAGGAAAATCCCAAGGAGAGGGGTAGTGGTTGTGAAGGTCCAGGGCCTTGCCTGGAAGCCACAGAGGGCAGGTACTTGGTGGAAAACTCCAGGGTGTGATTCACCCTCCTCCCTTGCCCTCATCAGTGAGGTCACCTCCCCTCCCAAGGTTCTCAGTTTCCAGCCTGGAGTCTCTGGTAAGAGAGGGCTGTCCCCTGTGCTGCACATCCCATCTCCTCGTCCCTGGGAAGGAGATGGTTCTGGAGGGGGATAGAGGAAAAGGGGGAAGGGGGAGGGGAAAGGAGGAAGGGCAAGGAGCAGGAGGAGGGGAGATGAGGTCAGGGTGTGAGCCTCTGAGCCCCTTCCCCTGCCCAAGGGAGCAGCTCAGCCCAGCTCTGGAGGGGTCATCATGGGACCATGCCCACTGGGAGGGCACCGGTCTGGAGACAGTGGGTTCATAGTGGGAGTGGGATGGGGGTGGGAACACTGGGGACAGAGGACTTGACTTCCTGAGGTTGGATGTTGTAATCTTGGTTCACAAACTTTTGGCCTCAGTCCCTCCTGTTGCTCCTGGTATTTCTCTGTCCCTTCACTTCCCAACACACACACACACACACACACACACACACACACACACACACACACACACACACACACACACACAGCTTCTTTCTGTCTGGGAGTCCCTGGACAAGTCCCATGGGATCTTGCACTGGGAGGAACAGCATAAGGCGTGAACGTGGAGGACAGTTTCCCTTTCAGGTCCCGGCTCTCTTGACTTTCCTGTAAGCGGCCACCCTGGAACTCTCCTGGAGACCTGATGCCCGCAGCTGAGCTGCCCGCAGGAGCCGGTGCTGGGGACTGAGGTGAGCGGGAAGTGGAGGGGCTGGCTCTGGTTTTGCAGTCTCCACCTGCTGCCCAGAGGGGCTGGAGGGATAGAGCCCAGGGAAGTGAGACTGTGGAACTGTGCATGTCTGTGGTGGAAGGCAGGACCTGCAGTAACCTCGGGCCAGAGGGCAAGTCTGATGCCCACGACCGACTCTCAGGACAAGGGGTGCCCCCTAGCTCCGCCCCGTCCAGCGTGGGAGCGGCTCAGAGATCAGCCTGTGGAGCAGGAAAGTCCACCGATGGGGAGCTGGTCACGGCAGTGGGTGAAAGCAGGGGTGGTCATCCGGCGAGGGGAGGGGAAGCAGATGGTGTCCATCGAGGTGGAAGGAACAGTGGAGAGGAGAAACCTCGGGGCATTCCTGAGGGCCCAGGAACTGCAATAAATGATCACAGGTGAGGGGCTCCTGTCGTCTGCCTCCTGGCTGAGCATAACGAGCTGGGTGCCCGGCGTCTCCCAGGAGGAAGCTGTCTTGGCTTTGGGCGGTGGGCGGCATGGGTGTGCTTGTGCCCGAGGGGAGCACTCAGGGGAGCTGCGGGCAGCTACCGACTGAGACAAGCAGCTCACGGGGTGTGAAGGACTGCAGAGGGAGCCAGGTTTTGGTCATGCACACAGGTATGTGTGTGCAAAGGGACGTGACGGGAAATGGCACCAGTGTGTGTACGCGAATGGGTGTTGGTATGTGGGTGTAGGCTGAAGCAGGGGTGGGTCCCATCCCCCATGTGCAAGCGCTGAGCTGTTCCTGTGCTGGACTGGGGAGCAAAGGGGACAGAGCTGGGACGCCAGCGGTACCTGGGCAGCAGCATTTCTGGTCTTGTCTGCTCCTCTGCGAGCCCCAGCTGGCCTCTGGCTACACGCCCAGCTCCTGAAAACAGAGTTAACTTTGGACTTTCTAGTCTCTTGAAGATTTCCTCTCTGGGCAGCACCAAGCCCGGGGTGGAAATTGTGTTTGCTTCTGAAGGGCACTGAAGTATGATGAGGTCCGTCGGCCGTCCCTCACCCCTGCCGCAGCTTAGCAAAGCAGGTGGGCGGCCTTGGGAGGAGACGCGAGGGGCTGGGGAGGCGGCCAGCTGAAGCTGGAGGTGGAACGCACAGCGGGGGTGGGGTGCACCTTTTAAAAGCAACCAGAAAGGAGAACTCAGTACAGCTTGTTTTGGTGTCCAACATCCTCTGGGCCATTTCTTCCCTGAGTCTGACTTAAATCCGTCTTGCTGCAGTGCAAGCCTATTTCCCCCTAAGTTACTGTGGCTCGGGGCCGGTTTTCCTTTTCACTTGCTCTTGCTTTCATTCTGCCATTCTGGATTTTCATTCTTAACCACAAGTTATGCTTCTCCCAATTACATTTTTATTTTTTAAAAAATCATGTGTCAGTGTCAGTGTCAGTTCATCAGCTCCTGTTCTCTTTTCTCTCTTCCCCTATTTCTGATAAAACTCAAACCCTGGGCCCACACGGGATTCTGTGATTTGCTTCCCTGCCCCTGCTCCCCTCCGGCTTTTCCTTCATTTACTCCTTTTCCCCAACAAGACTCCACTCCCCCAACTCTGGAGACCACCTTGGTCCTGCGATCGCTGCCTCTGGTCTGGGAACAGTCAGGCTCAGTTCTGACCACCGCCCCAGGGGTCCTTGTGTTTGGAGCTCACCCTATGGCGGGCGAGCACAGACCGTCGGTTCTCCTTCTCTTTACTGAGTCTTGTTTTTATCCCTTCGCCCTCCGAAAACCCCTGCTGAGCAGCGGTCGTTCTCTCTTTCAGGGAGACTTAGGGTTCAGAGAGGAGGTGTGATTGGCCTGAGGTCACACAGCAAGTTAGAGACCCAGCTCCACGACTCACTGTCTTGGTAAGTTTCTTCTAGCATTCGAGAATGGTGTCCCCGAGGCCCCGCAGGCACCGGGCACTGTTCCTTAATCTCTCGGAGCTTCACTTTCTCACACACGAAGTGGAGCTAATAGTAATGCCTAACTTCAAAGATTCTTACGAGGACGCACTTCAGTCACACAGAGAAAGAGTGCCTGTTGTGAACACGGGGCTCACTCAGGTGTTAGCCTGCTATTGTTATTAACAGCTAGATCTGGATTAGAACTTGGGTTTCCCGTCCGGTGCTTTTTCATGAATGTTTTCAAGCTCGTTCGCTAGTTTGTTCATTTGTTTGGGGATGAGTCCAGGGTCATTTCTCAGGGTGCCTCGGTCCTAATTCTGTAGCAACATCGACATTTGGGTTCAGATGGTACCAACTTCTCCCCCGGGCCTAACTCCCCATTTGTTCTCCCAAGGCTCCAGTGCTCAAAGCCCCCATGGGTCTGATCACATACTCCGGACGGACCCAGAAGCTCTCTTCCCCCACCCTGCCCCTTTCTCCCTTATATCAGAGACTCAGGACCTTTGATTTCCACTGGGTGTCTCTCCTCATCCTCCCTCCTGGGCTGCAGGGGAAGCCTCCAAGTAGGTCCCAAACCAGAATTTCACTCTGACACGCTTTCCCGTTCCTGGCACCCTCCAAGTCACCTTCAAAAATTTCCATAGCCTCAAATGGCTCCTGCCCACACCTTTCTAACTGACTTGGGCTTGGGCTGTTGCCTGGGTTAAAAGGACCAACAAATAAACACAGACTCTTCCTTAATAAAAAGAATCCCTGTGTTTCTCTAGAGCCTTGGAGGAACGCAGAGCACTCGGTAGACCTGGTCACTTGATTCCCTCAATACCCCTCTGAGGTGAGGGGCTGTGGGATGGGTGCTCCCCTCTACAGTCTGGGGCACCTCCTCTTGGCAATTCCCTGGGCATAAAGGCAGAGGTGGCCTCAGGGTAATTGTTTGTGTGTATGAGAGGGAGGAGAAGGTAAACACAGACTGGAGATACACCCTGACAGAACCGGATTTATCTCCTGGCAGTTGACAAGCAGGCCAAGGGCCAGAGAGTAGAACTGAGAATGGCCCACGTCATTTTTTCTGGAGGTCTAGGGCGCTTTGGGCTCTCTAGGAGGGCAGGGAGAAGGAAGGGCAGTGACTCGCCGCGATGGCAGCCACTGCTGGGCCTCCCTCTTGAAGAGCCAGTCATTTGGTCACCTTGGGGGTCATGTGGAGATGATTGCCAGCCGAGCGAGAACTGGTCTGCTGATCCCTTCTGGTACCAGGGTCCCCCGGTTTTTCTCAGGACAGAGATGCAACAGAGAGAAGAGGAGCTGGGGCTCCCTCGAAGGCTTACACTTGCCCCTGGTGCCAATCCTTGTTGTCTTCTGGCCTTGTTCAGAGGCCCCACCTTCTCTTTTCCTCCCAATCAGCTGCCCAGAGCTGCTGGCTCCCCTGTTTACTCCACGTTGATCGATCACCTTCGCACACAGCTGGCTAGGAGAGAACCATGCAGTCACTCCGGCCACACCTGCCCTTTGACCCTTGCTACCTCGGCAGCCTTGATCCCTTCTGGCCTGGAGGCCAGAGGCTAGGCTGAGGTCACTCAGCAGACATCAAGGACCTGGGCAGATGGGCCGGCTGGGATGGTGGCGAGCTGTGCCAATAAAAAGGGACATGAAAATGAAAAGCTCAAGCCTGGGTTTTCGTCACAGTTTTACTCCTGAGTGGTCTTGGGCAAATCACTTCGTCTGTCAAGGCCTGGATTTCCGCATCTGCAAACTCAGAAAACTAAGATTTGCTCTTTATTTGCTCTGAGAGTGATGAGAACGAAGCGTAACCTTAGGTGTGAATGCCATGAGCACTTGGGAAGAGCAGCGATACGCTGACAGCAGAGATCAGGATGGCAAAGCAGGGCTGGCGGGAGCATGTCGGGTTTTACAGCTGATTTCTTCTCTTCCCACCAGGCTTTGGCCCTCATCATCCTGCCCACCCAGCAGGGCCTCCCAATCCGCCACACGGCCATGGATGGGAAAGTGGCAGTGCAGGAGCACGGGCCTCCTGCGGTCTCCTGGGTCCCCGAGGAGGGAGAGAAGTTGGATCAGGAAGACGAGGACCAGGTGAAGGATCGGGGCCAATGGAACAGCAAGATGGAGTTTGTGCTGTCAGTGGCCGGGGAGATCATTGGGCTGGGCAATGTCTGGAGGTTTCCCTATCTCTGCTACAAAAACGGAGGTGGTGAGTTCACTTTGAGGTAGGCATGGTGGGGAGAGCTGTGCCCTGGCAGCTGGGCAGTACCTACCTGGGCCCTCCTTCCTGGGCAGTGTGGTTTATAAAAAGAGGGCTATTTTGGAATCGGAGGACTTGAGTTTGAGTTCCAGCTCCACCATTAGCCTCAGCGTCCCCTCCGTGAAATGGGGACAGTACCTCCCAGGGCGATGGTGAAGATGAAATTAGGCCACGGGCAGGACCAAGAAATTCTAGTTTTTAGCAAGCTCCTTCGTAACTATGTAAAGGTCAGTTGTTGATAGAATTCAGCCATTCATTCAGCGAACATGACTGCAGGCCTGTCACGTGCCAGACCCGGCGCTGGGTGCGAAACAACACATTCCATGTGCCACACTCCGTGGAGGGATTCTGGGGGGTGGTGCTGTGTCCGCGGCAGGTTGCGGACAAACAGTGCAGCACGGTCCACGTCAAATGGTGACGCGTGGAGGGGTGAGGCGTGACGCAGGGAAGAGGGATAGGGAATGCTAGGCGTGCAGAGGGGACGGTTCAGCAGACTTGAAGGAAGTGAAGGTGTGAGTGTCGTGGGTGTATCCTGGATGGAGAACACGCCCGACACAGGTCCTGGGACTGGAAGCAGCAGGCCTGTCTGAGGAGCAGTGAGGAGACAGGTGTGGCTGGGGCGGAATGAGAGAGGGAGAGAAGAATGGGGTGAGGTCTGAGAGGTAACAGGGTCACTCAGGCTCTGTTCTGAGTGAGATAGGAGCCTCCGAAGCAATTTTGGTTGGAGAAATACCTTGCCTTTGAGTTTGTTTTTCAAATTAGAGACACATGATTTTATTGTTTTTCAGCCCTGGATGTAAAAATTAGCAGTGGTGGGGAGGGGCCCGATTCCTTTTTCTAAGTGTACAGTTCAGTGGTTTTTAGTCACAGGATTGTGCAACCGTCGCCACAATCACTTTTAGAACATTTTCATCATCCCCAAAAGAAATCCTATATTCATCAGCCGTCGCTCCTCATTCCCTCTCCCGGCCAGCCCTTGGCAACAGCTTGCGTGCTGCCGATCTCTGTGGATCGCTGTTAGGGCTATTTCATAGGAATAGAGTCGTTCAATGGGCAGTCCTTTGTGAGTGGTCAGAGTTGTCTTATTTTTGCCTCTTGAAATCACTTTTATTCTTCTTGTGGAAAAGGTATATGTTTATTGCAAACATTAGAAACATTTCAGGAAGGTAGAAAGAATACTCACATTAGAGATAACCGTTGTTGAGAAAATCCTCCTAACCACTATTTATATTAAATCTGACCAATATTTACGGAGTGTCTACTACGTATCTTGCTATGTATTTTAAAGCTTATATGTATTTTTAAAGCTTATAGTTATGATCACAAGCTGCTTGAATTGACAACTCCTAAGAAAAAGCAGTAGGATTTCTCGGACTGGCTTGGTCTCTAGCGCTGAGGCTGAGAGGGCAGGCTGACCCTGGGCCAGAAAGTCAGGGGAAGGAGGATGAAGGGGCAGGGTGCTGGTTTCCTTCTTCATCCAGGGCCACCATCTCATGGCATATAGGATGTCAGGGTTGGAGGTGGAGGTGGCCCAGGCTAAGCCCTCCTTTGGTGGAGGAGGATTTGCCCAGGACCTCAGAGGGCCCTGGAACCAGGCTGGCTGCTTCCTGCGTCACGGCACACTCCTCACCCAGCTATCCGGGAGGGAGAGAGCACTAGGGCCTGGGAAGCAGGGCCACGGCGTCGGGCGCTCACCCTGCCTCTGTCCTGCCACTGGCTTCTGCTGTGGCTGCAGCCTCTGTCCTGGCCGTGGGGCGGGGTGCATACAGAGAGAGATAAGTACCCCCAGTAACATCACGGAATGTCGGATCCGGGTGACCCTCGTCCCAGCCTAACTCTTGGGAAAGGCACCCTTTCTTTCATCTTTAAGACGAGGGGGCCAGGAATTCATTTTCTCATTTCCAACAACCTAATGATGGATGGATGTGGAAACAGGACGTCTCAGACTAGTTCAAATGTCCTTTAGTTTTTGCTGTAGACTGAACTGTACTAACTCATAGTGATAATAAAGTTTATCTCAAGCTGACCACAAGGCCTGATTGGCAGTTAAATATGATTTTTACTAATATATGCAGGGAAATTTATTGATTATTAATTAGCAAACATAGTTCTGTAGAGAAAAATCTTTCAAAAGAAACAAAAAGAGTAATAAAACTATCGGTCTAATGAGGTCTTTGGTTATGAAAAAGAGGGGGGCCCCTGAATTAGATCATCCTTAAGAAATCATTCACCTCAAAAGAGGACGTTAGGAAACTCCCATTATCTGGGTTGTGAGTGGTTCGGGAACGAGCACGCAGCGGGGGTGAGGCACACCTTAGAGGTGTTTAAACCAACCACGGGCTTCCGGACACCCTGTCCGTAAAGGTTCCCGTGGGACATCATTGGACTGCCTGTGCCCACAGCCTCGGCTGACACCAAGGAGACACGAACCAGGGTAACCTTCCAAAGCAAGGCACTGATCAGATAATTTGAGGGGAGGGTGTTGGCAGCGTTAGCGTTCTAGAAACCCAAGGGTAGAGGACGCCCTAGACGCGATCCAGAACCAACCTTTCATCTGCCCCCGAAGGTCCAGACTTGGTGCCGCCCTTTCAGGGAGGACCCAGTCTGAGGGGGTCCAGCTCCAGGCCTCCTGAGGTCACCCCGTCTTCTGTGGGGCAGAAGTCCACACTCCCAGGCGAGAACTGAAGCCACCTCTTTTATCAGACGGAAGGAGTCCCGTGGGCCACACGCCCTGACAGGCATCCTGTAAAGCGCCTTCTGGGGAGGCCTCAGGCCATGTCCCTCTACTGCACGCTACCCCTCAGCCTAGGTCCTGGGACTTCCCAAGCCACTGAAACCTGGGTCAGTGGTGTTACTGGCACTGTGTTGACCAACACTCTAGTATTCGTAGGGTTGGAAAGGCAAACATGGGGTTCAAAGGGACTTTGGAACTCAGTGGAGAGTTACTGGCTTGTGGCTCTCCAGGATCCAGAAGACACAACCTTTTCCTCCTCTCACATAGTGCCATCGGGAATCTGACAGATCCTCCTCTCACATAGTGCCATCCGGAATCTGACAGATCCTCCTCTCACATAGTGCCATCGGGAATCTGACAGATCCTCCTCTCACATAGTGCTATCCGGAATCTGACAGATCCTCCTCTCACATAGTGCTATCCGGAATCTGACAGATCCTCCTCTCACATAGTGCTACCGGGAATCTGACAGATCCTCCTCTCACATAGTGCTATCCGGAATCTGACAGATCCTCCTACATCCGACATAGGTGCCTTACAGTGCCAGGAATCTGACAGATCCTCCCTCTCACATAGTGCCTATCCAGGGAATCTGACAGATCTCCTCCACTGCCTCTCACATTATTGCCTATCCCGGGAATCTGACAGATCCTCCTCTCACATAGTGCATCCAATAAATACAGGTGGAATCTGGACAGGATCCCTCCTCTCACATAGTGCTATCCGGAATCTGACAGATGCTTCCCCTCTCCAACCATAGTGCTACCCACGGAGATAATCTGACAGAACATAGGCATCCGTCCGTCTCTCTCACATAGTGGCTATCCGGGAATCTGACAGATCCTCCTCTCACATAGTGCTATCCCGGGAATCTGACAGATTCCTCCTCTCATCACATAGTGCCTACGCGGTCCCTCCCTCCCGGCGGAATCTGGATCCTACAGATCCTCCGCCTCCTCTCACATAGTACCTTGCTATCAGGGAATCTGGACCAGGATTCCCTTGCTCTCCTTCCACATAGTGCTACCGGGAATCTGACAGATGGGTGCAAGAGTTTTGGAGAACAATTTGGAAATGCATGTTTAAAAAAACGTGCGTCCCCCAAAGGTGTGGAAACAACCCAAATATCCACGAACAGATGAATGCATAAACAGAATGTGGTAGGTTCCCGCAAGTGAATATTACGTAGCCTTCAAAAAGAGGGGAATTCATGCTATGACCTGGATGAATCTTGGAGGCATGCATGCTGAGTGAAATAAGCCAGGCACGAAGAGATAAGCACTGTATGATTACACGTTCATGAGGTACCTAGAATAGGCAAATGCATAGAAACAGAAAGTAGAATCACGGTTGCCAGGGGCTGGGGAGAGAGGGGAATGGGGAGTTCGGGTTTAATGTGTACAGAGTCTCAGTCCGGGATGATGAAAAAGCTCTGGAGATGGATGGTGGTGATGGTTGCACAACATTGCGAATATACTTAATGCCACTGAACTGTACACTAAAGAACAGTTAAAGTGACTTATATTATGTATATTTTATCATACACACACGCAAAGCAAAAAAAAAAAAAGTGCATACCTTTTGACTCAGGAGTTCCTCTACTGGTAATTTGTACTAAGGAGTGAATTAGACAAGTACACGAGGATGTGGACAGCAGTCTTCATTATGACAACGTTTCGGATGAAATGACCAAAAGTCCAATGACAACATACTGGCAAAGTGCACTAGGATAGATACACAGAGTGGAACACTATGCAGCAATCAAAATGATGAGATAGATACGTATTTATTGCCATGAAGAGGTTTATGGTAAAAATTTAAAAAGTGGTTATCAAATAATGTATTTGATACATGATTACTTCTCATTTTTGCAAAAAAGAAATACGTGTGTGTGCTTTTAAGAAATCTAAGGATATACAATGCTTTTGCCTTTCTTTCCCTCTGTACTTTCTGTGTTTTCTACATAATAATATGGATATGAAGTATCAGAGGTATATAGTGTAGTGAGTAAGAGCTCAGCCTCAGGACTAGACCGCCTGGGTTTGTGCCTCAGTTTCCTCATTCGTGCTTCGGTTTTTCCATCTTTAAAGTGACCTCAGTTTTATTATCTGCAAAATGGGGATAACAGTAGGGCCTGCCCCATGGGAGGTTGTTTTGCAAGGACTGTGATGTTGATGAAGCACGTACAAGAGTCAACACCAAGTAAGCACTCAGTGTTCTCATGGTGTAACAAACAATAATCCATTCATCCTGAGATGAACTTCTGACGCGAGGTTTATGCCTTAGTGACTCCTACCGAGGTGGGTCTCCTGGGCTTGCTGTTGTCTTCAGATTCCAGTCCTGTGTAACCTGCTGGATGTCTGTTAGGCCTGGCCTCCCTCTGGCACCTGCAGGTTGGCACCTAATCACATCATGGCCTTCTCTGCTGGGAGCCCCGTTCAGATCAGAACTGGGTGGAGGCAACAAACACCCTGAAAATTATCAGTGGGAAAACAATGCTTCCCAGGTGTTTTTCTGTAAAATGTACCAAAAGTTTAATAAGCATAACAAGTTATACAGAAGCCATGTGTTTATTCCAAAAATAATCTATTGACTAGATTTGTAAAGTACACTAAGAAAATAAATAGTATATATATTAGAATTTCCACCTAAGTTTTCGTTAGTTCTCCTTCCAAGGTCTTTCTCATTCTGTGTAGGGTTCAGATCAGAACATTCCCACCTGCACCTGCCTAACACTCAGGACGGCAGGCAGACAGGAGGAAGCCGACTTGGGTCCCTGGGAGGTGTCAGGAGGGAGATTAAGAACAGGATGGTGGAGGGTGGGTTTGTTCGGGGGAGGGGAGGTCTGAAAGGATCCAGGCTGAGGAAGAGCCTGGGTGTGGTTCAGCCCTGCCTCTCTCTTTTCTGCAGGAGCCTTCTTCATCCCCTACTTCATCTTCTTCTTTGTCTGCGGCATCCCCGTGTTCTTTCTGGAGGTAGCGCTGGGCCAGTACACCAGCCAAGGGAGTGTCACAGCCTGGAGGAAGATCTGCCCCCTCTTCCAGGGTATGTATCCTCCCCCACCTTCCTATTCATGGGCCCTCCACCTTGCCTGCATCCCCCCATTGTCTCTCCCTTCCTACCCACCCACTGCCTCACTCATCCGCTCACTCCCATCCTGCGCCAAGTGCAGAAGCAGGATCAGGCTTCACGGGCGGGTTGGAGAGAGGTGAGCCTGGTGGGGAAACACTGGCTCCCCAGCAAGCTGGGACTCTTACCACTGATTAGGGGGAGGTGGGGGAGGCCAGTTTGGTGCTGATGCCTTTCGGGGCAACCATGGGACTCCTGCAGGGGCAGAAGTGAGGGGCTGGAACCGAGTGAAGCTTGGCTTACTGTGGTTCCACTCACAGGTGCTGGGTGCTCCAGGGGTGCTGGGCCTCAGCCAGAACAGGTTCCCCCTGTTCTCCCTCCATCCCAGCAGCGGTAAATGTCCCGCTCAGCCGGGTCCTGTGCCTAGGTCTAAGCACGCTCAGGGACAGCACACGCAGGGCTGGCCTCTCCGGAACAAACAGAGCTTATGCGGGTGCCATGGTCAGGGTGAGCAAACGGAGCACTGGAATGCGAGAGAAACAGATATCTTGGCTCTTTCCTTCTTTTCCAAGTCAGAGAGGCGCCAAGGCCGGGATCTCAGCGGGAGGTGTGTGCGCCGCGCTCTGCTGGTGGGAGGTCCGGGCTGCGCCACCCGCCCTCTGCCGGCCGCAGCGCCCGCCGCACTCCCCCTCCCCGGAGACGGCGCGTTCAGGCTCGGGGCTCGCCCTGCGCTCACCCGCCCCGCCACGGGCCGCACGGGGGCCGCTTCTCCCACTCGCCTCTCCCGGGTTCAGGCTCGGGGCTCGCCCTGCGCTCACCCGCCCCCCCCCCGCCCCCCCCCCCCGGTTCGCCGGGCTCGCCCTGCGCTCACCCGCCCCGCCACGGGCCGCACGGGGGCCGCTTCTCCTCCCAGCGTCACTCCTGCTTTCTCGGAGATGGGGGCCGCCCTGCCCCTCTCCAGCTGGCCCCAGCAGAATCGCCGACCCCCGGGTCCGCTGAGTTCACGGGGCTGACCCAGGGCTGCGGGATGGGCCGGACGGCCGCGAGCACAGCGCGTTCCGCCTCGGCACAGTGGCCGCTTGTTTGTGTGTCTGTGTGTTTGTGTGTTTGGTGTCTGTGTGCGCGCTCTCAACGCCCCGCCCGCTCCCCGGAGACCCTCTGCCATCGGCGGGTCCCCTCCTGCGCAACGCCACGCCCAACCCCGCGGGGCCGCCCGGGCCGCCCCGGAACCCGTCCTTGCCACGGTGGGCTCGCCTGGCCCCAGAGGAGCGGTTTTGTTCATAGTCAGCATTGATTTTTCAGCCAGGCTGTTCTGAAAGGTCCACTGTCCTTCATTAAGTAGTGAGCACTTCGGGAGGCTGAGGCAGGAGGATGGCCTGAGCCCAGGAGTTCGAGACCAGCCTGGGCAGCATAGTGAGACCCACCCCTTCTCTCGTCTCTACACAAAAATTTAAAAATTAGCCGGGTCTGTCTGTGGTCTCAGCTATACCGGAGGCTCAGATGGGAGGATCGCTTGAACCCAGGAGTTGGAGGCTGCAGTGAGCTGAGATCACACCACTGAGCTCTAGCCTGGACCCCCCACCCTCTCTCTCTCTCTCTCTCTCTCCCTCTCTCTCTCTCTCTCTCTCTCTCTCACACACACACACACACACACACACACACACACACACACACACACACACACACACACAGAGTTACTGAGCATCGACTAAAGACTAAGAGAGAGCTAACCCAGCAGGAAACAGGCAGGGGTTCTCTCACAGGGGAAACCGGGCTCCAGCCCTTCTCCGCAGGACTCCCGAGCCACCTGGCAACATGTTGCTTTTAAAATGACTGTGGAAAAGATTCCACTTTGCAGACGGGGGTGCTGGGGAGGTGTGTGTAAGCCCTCCCTCTCTGCCCCCTCCCTCCCCAAGTATGCTGCCAGGAGACCAAGTGCATCCAGCTAACCACGAGGCTTCAGGACAAGTGTTAAAATAGCAGCGAGGTCTCCACCGTTGCTGGCGGTCTTGCTGCTGGCTGAGACGGCGCTCGGTGCTGACTCAGGCTCCTAAGTTCCTGACACAGACCATTTCTCCCTTCCTCTCTGGTTTCTTTCTTTTGCTCTTATCCTGAGACCCCTCTGTCACCCAGGCTGGAGTGCAGTGGCATCATCTCGGCTCACTGCAACCTCTGCCTCCTGGGGTCAAGGGATTCTTGTGGCTCAGCTACCCAAGTAGCTGGGATTACAGGCATGTGCCTCCACACCTGGCTAATTTTTGTATTTTTAGCAGAGGTTGGGTTTCACCATGTTGGCCAGGCTGGTCTCAAACTCCTGACCTCAAGTGACTCACCCGCCTTGGCCTCCCAAAGTGCTAGGATTATAGGTGCGAGACACATTCTTACCAAATTTTCCTACTTACTCCTTCCTTCTTCTGGCCCCTTTTCATTTTCCAACCAATACATGGTTGTTGTAGAAAAACTAGAAAATGCAGATAGCCGAAAAAAAAACAAAAACCCAGAAACTTGAAAATGTTATCTGAAATCCTACCACCTAGAGAATCACTTGTTAACTTTTGGGTGAAGATCCTTCCAGAGCTTTTCCCATGAAAAAAAAATATATACGTTCAAATACATATCACAAAAATGGGAAAATGCGTAGGGTAATGTCCTGTAACCTGCATTTCTTCCTTAGAAAAATACGCTGTGGGCCGGGTGCGGTGGCTCACGCCTGTAGTCTGAGGGACCAGGACTCCCAACCATTACCATCTGCTGTCCCTTGCATCACACCCACGGGCTCCTGCCCAAAGTTCCGTCCCCTGCCCAAAGTTCTTACTTCCTCTGCTAGGGCACAGGTTATGCGCCTGTAATCCCAGCACTTTGGGAGGTCAGGAGTTCAAGACCAGCCTGGCCAACATGGTGAAACCCCGTCTCTACTAAAAATACAAAAACTAGTTGGGTGTGGTGGCACATGCCTGTAATCCCAGCTACTCAGGAGGCTGGGGCAGGAGAATTGCTTGAACCCGGGAGGTGGAGGTTCCAGTGAGCCGAGACCATGTCACTGCACTCTAGCCTGGGCAACAGAACAAGACTCCATCTCAAGAAAAAAAAAAAAAAAAGAAAAAAAGAAAAAAGAAAGGAAACTGTGCTGTGAATGGCTTCTCATGCCACTGGATAAACCCAGTGGTTCTCTTTGTGTAGCACCCAATACCCTTGTAACCTCAACTGGCAGCTTCTGTGTGACTTTTTTGCTAACATTGATCTCTCTTGTCCCTCCCCACCTCTCCCCCACTCTGGAAGGCATTGGTCTGGCGTCTGTGGTCATTGAGTCATATTTGAATATCTACTACATCATCATCCTTGCCTGGGCTCTCTTCTACCTGTTCAGCTCCTTCACCTCTGAGCTGCCCTGGACGACCTGCAGCAACGTTTGGAACACAGGTATCCATCATTTCAGCCCCTGGGATGTTGCCTGATAGGGGCTGGGCTGCGGCAGCTGGTGATGTCCAAGCAGCGATGGGGTGTATAGCAGAACTTGCCTCATAGCCAAGCCATGTGGGCTCCGGGGCCAGCTCTGCTCCTTGGCTCTCCTGGAGCCCTCAGGCCAGCCACTAGGACAAGTCAGTGTGGTTGGGAGAACCCAAAGGGAGTGTATTAAACAACTGCAAGGGTTATCACCACTTACTCACTTGTGCACTTAGCAAGCACTTACTGGACACCTACTGTGTGCTAAACATGGTGCCAAGGGCTGGAGATGGGTACAAGGCTGAGCAAAAGCAACAGGGACCCAGCCTTCACTGTGTTTACAGTCTGGTGGTGGAAACAGACAAATAAACACAACCACTACGAATTGTGATAGGTGAACGAAACTGCAGAAACCATAGAACAAGGGGAGGGAGACGTGTCATCTGAGGCCTGAAGTGAGAAAGAGCCCAGCATGTGAACAGCATTCCAAGCAGGGGGAAGAGCAGGCACAGGGCCTCAGTCCCTTGGTCTGTCACGTGGAGAGACAGGAAGTCGGAACGGGCCAGTGGGGAGAATGAGTTCCATACCAGCTGCCCGTGAGAGGTCTGAGTAGATCTGAAGTCTGGACAGTGTCTGAGGTTGGCAGGGCAGCCAGGTAAGCAGCCAGATTCAGAGGGAACAAGAGCAGGGGGAGGAAGAGCTGGCTCTATGAGACTCCTTATGCTCTGGAGAGGGTGGGCTCCAAAAGAAGCTCTTGGGGCTAGGAGTGGTGAGGACCACTAGGCTGCAAGGCCAGAGGGCCAGGGGGACTAGGGTATGAGGGCCTCTCTCTCCATCTTGTCCCTAACCTTGTCCCCAACCTTGTCCCCAACAGAGCACTGCGTGGACTTTCTGAACCACTCGGGAGCCGGCACAGTGACCCCATCTGAGAATTTTACCTCACCTGTCATGGAATTCTGGGAGTAGGTGCTGGGCCCATATGCCACATGTGAAGAGGCTCCAAGCAGAAGAAATTTGGATGTCTGAGCTGTGCAAGTCTGAATGTCTGGGGTGCAAGTTTAAGATTCTCTGTGTGCTTTCCAGCGCTTCCTCCCCCGCCCCACTCCAACCCCACACGTCGCTGAGGCAGGGGAGAACGCTCTCACATCTACCCACCTGGGTCCGCGTAGACTCACGTTTCTCCATCGTGTCCACCTTCACCCCCACATCCCTACCTCCACGCATATGTCTGCCCATACATGTCCGGTGGGGTGCTGGACACAGCCTTCACAGCCTTAGGCGAGCTGGGTGTGCATGTCTCTCCCCAGTGCCATGCTTGGTGGCATCATGCTGGTAGCTTGAAATCGCCCAAGGCGGGAGTGAGCACATCAAGACCTGGGCATACCCTCCGCTCACATACTCACCCTCTCACATGACAACTTACACCTTCACATTACCCGTGCCCACACTCGTCCACCTACATTCCCACGCAAGGCTGCCTGTACTCACACTGAGCTCACCCCCACGTGGGCACCACTGCCCTCACACATGAATGCCCTCGCAGTGCCGAACCCTCACACCCATGCACACAGTTCCAGCACCCCATCGCATGTTTAGACACTCACACACATTCAGCCCCTCCATGGGATACCCATGCCACTGGCCCATCAACCTGCATGCATAAATATTTACTCGCTAAACGCTCATGTGTACATTCCTCATCTCTCTCTCTCTCTCTCCATCTTTCTGTACAAGAAAAAAAATCCGGATGAGTTAGAAAGACAAAGATACGTATGGGATGATGGTAGAAGTTTGGTCTACCAAACTTCCCCCAGGGGGTCAGGGAAGCCCTGGAATATGAGATCCATGGGGTCAGCTCTGAGAATCTGAGCATCAGGAGACTTGCTGACAGTTGAAAACTGCCCCCTTTAGCCTTTCCCCTCGTTACTTATTTTTCCCAATCCTCCAGGAGACGAGTTCTGAGCATCACCTCGGGTATCCATGACCTGGGCGCCCTGCGCTGGGAGCTGGCCCTGTGCCTCCTGCTCGCCTGGGTCATCTGCTATTTCTGCATCTGGAAGGGCGTCAAGTCCACAGGCAAGGTGAGGTGGTCTGCCTCCTGGGAAGCTCCCTGTGGCCCCCAGAGCTTTCGGGGACACTTGAGGGGGACCCTCTGGAGAACTGATTTCTTTCTCTTAAGAAACGAAGCTTCCTGCGCAGTGCAGGGGAGATGTGTAGTGAGAACAGGGGAAGTCACAGGAAGGCGGATCTTAGCTCTATGCAAGGAAAATCTTTCTTTTTCAATATGGCTTTAAAAATCCGGTTTCCATAAGAATATTCAGGGCAAATTTGAAACAGAAAAGTCCCGTTGTTTGAGCTAATCACTGCGCTGCCAGGTTGGCACTGAGAACCTCTGTTCACTTCTGCGGTGTTGCCTTCTGGTTTCTCTCATGCATGTGTGTGTGTGTGTGTGTGTGTGTATCCATTATGTGTGGCTATGACATCATGAGGGTCACACGCTCTTGTGACTCACTTGTTGTTGTATTTAACACATAGCAAGATAATTTTGAGTTTGAATTAGCAAACAGAACTGTCTTTGAGGTGGGGAGTTTCCAGTCATCGAAGGGGTTCCCACCAAGGATGGGCAACGGTGAGCTTGTCACGTAGAGAGAATTCAGATTTGAGCATTATTTACAACCCAGAGAGCCGGAGACTATGCTTCGTGCCTTTTTAAAGCCAGGAATGGTTGGTAAACAGACTTCTCTGCTTGGCCGTACACTTAGTCTGTTCCCTCAGCAGCCTTTCCCCTCCCTGAATTGTGACAGGTTGGTCATAGTGATGATGAAAGTGGTCATCGAAAGCCGGGCGCGGTGGCTCACGCCTGTAATCCCAGCACTTTGGGAGGCTGAGACGGGCGGATCACGAGGTCAGGAGATCGAGACCATCCTGGCGAACACGGTGAAACCCTGTCTCTACTAAAAATACAAAAAATTAGCCGGGCGCGGTGGCAGCGCCTGTAGTCCCAGCTACTCAGGAGGCTGAGGCAGGAGAATGGCGTGAACCTGGGAGGCGGAGCTTGCCGTGAGCTGAGATCCGGCCACTGCACTCCAGCCTGGGGCACAGAGCGAGACTCTGTCTCAAAAAAAAAAAAGTGGTCACCGTAGTGAGAACAGCGCAGACAGTGCCACTGCTGCCGCCCAGGGAAGGAAGGAGTTGCGTTTGCTGAGTGGCAGCATAGAACGCCCCGGAGCTCCGGCCACCACTGCTCCCCCAACCATTAGCCGGGAAAAGTGCAGTCTAACTTTCCCCACAGATCACTGTACAAATCTGGTCACCGTTCCCCTGGGTCGCCAGGGGGCAAGGAGAGAACAGCCAGGATAAGGGATTAAGAAAGACCCGATTCTGGACTTTAAATTAGTCTTTGCCTTGATTTTATCATTACACATTATATACATGTATGGAACTACCACTCTTTTTCATAAATATGTACAGATTATGTACATATGTACACGTTGACTAAAAATAAGAGGAAAAAAATGGTCTGGGAAGGTTATGGGCTGGAAGCCTGTACCTGCCTCCCTCCCTGTCTTCCTCCTCCCCTCCCCGCCCTTCCCGTGCCGACGTGCGTCTCACAGGATGTGTATCCCCACATCTGTGGGGAGCACGGACCCGTTGGAATGTGTAAAGGGAGGTGTGGAAAGTTTCCCGTGCTTAGCCCCTCTTAGCGGTCTCTGAGGCTGGGACTGAGCTCCATGTGACTCGCACTGCCTGTGGGGCGTGGCTGGAGGGCCACTGCGTCCCCACCAGGAGTGACCTTGGCCTGCCCCCCACCTCCAGGTGGTTTATTTCACAGCCACGTTTCCCTACCTGATGCTTGTCATTCTGCTGGTCCGAGGTGTTACCCTTCCCGGGGCCTACCAGGGCATCATCTATTACTTGAAGCCAGATTTGTTCCGCCTCAAGGACCCTCAGGTATGTACTATGCCGGGACCACTTCCCCAGATGCCCTCCCCACCCAACCCGGTCTGTATTTTTGAAAGTCTTGTATTGCTTTTTCATTGGTTTAAAAGCAGTAGATGCCCACTGGAGAAAAATTAGAAAATATGGAAGAAAGCTATAAAAAAGAAACTAACAATCTCTTGTAATTCCACCACTCAAATATAACTTTTTTTCTTAAAAAAATTTTTTTTTCTTTCTTAGAGACAGGGTCTGGCTCTGTCCCCCAGGCTGGAGTGCAGTGGTGCCATCATAGCTCACTGCAGCCTCAACCTCTTGGGTTCAAGGCATCCTCTCACCTCAGCCTCCCGAGCAGCTGGGACTACAGGCGTGAGCCATAGTTCCTGGGCATTTTATCTTGATATTTTGATGAAGCAGCCGCTTTGTCCCCAGGTCACAGCTGCTTAAGACACTATATATAGAGATCTTAGTTGAATGAGACAAGTGACTCCCAGCTGTGCCCTGCAGAGAGGCCTTGGGTGCAGCCATGGTTTGTAGATTCCCCTGAAGAAATTCAAGCAACACACATGTATTTGGTACTCACTAAGTGCCTACAGAACCAAACCGAAACTGGGCCCCACTGGGGAGGAGATCACCATGGAGACAGGAGGGCGTGCTCATGGAGACTTGGGACGCAGGAGGGAAGCGCTCAGGGAGCCCTGAAGGGCCAGGCTGGTGCTGCAGGGGATGGGTCTGGATCTCGGGTCACCCTGGCTCTGGGCCCTGGGGGCTTCCTCTGCCTCTTTCTTGGGGTTTTGTGTAGGTGTGGATGGATGCGGGCACCCAGATCTTCTTCTCCTTCGCCATCTGCCAGGGGTGCCTGACAGCCCTGGGCAGCTACAACAAGTACCACAACAACTGCTACAAGTGAGAACAGCGTGGGCCGGGGTGGGCGAAGGAGGGCTAGGGGCCTGGGGGTGGGCTCTGGACAAAGACCCATCATCTCTGGGCTCATTATAAGTTGTGTCAAACTGACCTGGTGGGTTCAGTTCCCAGACTAAGTGTCTTTCTTATTCTTTTTCTCTCTCACTTCTCTCTTTGTTGTCTGCCACCCAATTTTTGTCTTTTTCTTCCACTATCTTCTTCCCATCCTCTCTTCCCTTCCTCCCCTCCTCTGTGCCTCCCTTGCCTTCCCCTTCTCTCTCCTCGGTCCCCTCTCGCTGTCTTTTGCTCTCTCCTCCTCTCTTTTCCTCGTCGTTCCTATCCGCCCTTGCCCCACTCCCACAGGGACTGCGTCGCTCTCTGCTTCCTGAACAGTGCCACCAGCTTTGTGGCTGGGTTTGTTGTCTTCTCCATCCTGGGCTTCATGTCGCAAGAGCAGGGGGTGCCCATTTCTGAAGTGGCCGAGTCAGGTAGGTGCCACTTTGCTGTCTGGGGCCTGAGGGGAAAGAGAGTCAGAGAACACACTTCCCTCCTGTTGAAAGGCGTGAGTCCCAGAAGATGAGCAATATGATTTATTTATGGGTAATAGGATTTAATTTTAGCATCTGGGGCAGTGCTTAGCACAAAGCAGGGCTTCCATTACCATAGGAAAGAGGAGGGGAAGGATGATGGATGCTAGATGGACCAACACTGGATGGATGGAGGGAGGGATGGAGGGATGGATGGATGGATGGATGGATGGATGGATGGATGGATAGATAGAGGGATGGTTGGATGAACGGTGTGCTTCCCAGGCCTGGAAAGAGAAGAATAGTGGATGGAATCACCCTATCCTCTTAAAGTGCGTGCACAGGTACACACAGGTACACACAGGTACACACAGGTACACACGCACACAGTGCTTAGAGAGGCGCCTCTTTCCCGAGGGCAGCGCATGCCCTGGAGCCCCCCCTGACTGTGCTGTGTGCCTGGCAGGTCCTGGGCTGGCCTTCATCGCCTTCCCCAAGGCTGTGACTATGATGCCCTTATCCCAGCTGTGGTCCTGCCTGTTCTTCATCATGCTCATATTCCTAGGGCTGGACAGCCAGGTACGTCACTGCCGCCCGGCCTGCCCTGCCATGGTCACCCTCTTGCCAGCCTCTGCCTGTCCTGGCACTACTTTCCCCTCACTCCCACTCCCCTGACCATAAACTTGAGGCCCCCTCTGCTGTCCAGGGCTTTTCCTTGGGGCTGGGGGTGTGGCCTCAAGCCTGGAGACCCTCTGGTGTGAAGGGGCCATGGGGCTGGGGGTGTGGCCCCAAGCCTGGAGACCCTCTGGTGTGAAGGGGCCATGGGGCTGGGGGTGTGGCCTCAAGCCTGGAGACCCTCTGGTGTGAAGGGGCCATGGGGCTGGGGGTGTGGCCTCAAGCCTGGAGACCCTCTGGTGTGAGGGGGGGGGGGGGGGGGGGGGGGGGGGGGGGGGGGGGGGGGGGGGGGGGGGGGGGTGGGCCTCAAGCCTGGAGACCCTCTGGTGTGAAGGGGCCATGGGGCTGGGGGTGTGGCCTCAAGCCTGGAGACCCTCTGGTGTGAAGGGGCCACTGGTTCTGTGCTCCCAGGCGTGGGCCTCGGCATGCATGGATGCCTCCTCCCAGATATTCCTTCAGCTTGAGCTGCCCAGCCCCAGCCCCCGAGCCCTGGGGACAGAACATATCCCCCCTCTAACCCTCACTGCTGAGACTCTGTCATGGAGTTGTAGTCAAGGGCAGGGCTGGCTCACCCCCGGGCACCCCCATTTCTTCCCTTTGTGCCGCTCCCTGCACCCCTGTGCATCAATGTGGATGAGCCAGGGGAAGCGGAGGCCAGGGCCGGTGGCCACCAGCTTGCCCCACACCCTCTCATCCAGTTCCCCTGCTGGCCCACAGTTTGTCTGTGTGGAGTGCCTGGTGACAGCCTCCGTAGACATGTTCCCCAGGCAGCTCCGGAAGAGCGGGCGGCGGGAGCTCCTCATCCTCACCATCGCCGTCACGTGCTACCTGATAGGGCTCTTCATGGTCACCGAGGTGAGCTGGGGCCGGTGGCCTGCAGGCCAGGCTCCCGGGGAGGGAGCCACGGGGGACACCGCTGACCCTTCTTAGAGCCTCACTTTTCTTATCTGCTGATGCGGGGTGCGGACGCCTGCCCTGCCTCTCCACAGTGAGGTTGTACGGACCACACGACCTGCATTTGTGAGGTCTCTTTTGGTTGCAGGTGACAGAAACCAATACAGCTTAAGCAGAAAGGGGAACGTGTTGGGTCAGGTTGCTGAAAACCCTAGAGATATTTGGGTTTCGGCGTGGTCGGATCCAGCTGCTCTTGTGACACTGTCAGGAGTGCTCCTTGCTCTCCTGGGACTTCACTCAGAGGCAGGTTTTCCTCCGGGGGCGTTAGGGACGGATGCTGGGCTTCAGGCTTACCTGTCAGTGTCAGCCAACCCAGGGGGAAGGAGAGGCCCTTTCCTGAGAGTGTGGCAAGTGTCCAGGCTGTGACTCTTATTCAAGCCTGAGTGGGGAGAGAGGGACACCCCACTCTAAAAGGAACACAGAATGAGGGGGTGTCACTTTCCAGAAGCAGAGATGCTGGGCAGACGAAATGATGTGCGTCCACCACAGTCTCCCAGTGCCCTTGCAGATGTCAGAGGTTATTGTCCTGATGTTGATTGGGAAGCCTGAAGGCGGGGCAGGCAGGGCAAACTCCTTTTAGAGGCAAGGAATGGCGTCCCACGGGCCGGGCAGGAGGGCGCCCCACAGGGGCATTTCCCATCTCACCGATGGGCAGCGTGTGTCCCATCCCTGCACTGGCCATGCCCCAGCTCCACGCTCTCCCCACAGGGCGGGATGTACATCTTCCAGCTGTTTGACTACTATGCTTCCAGTGGCATATGCCTGCTGTTCCTCTCAGTGTTTGAAGTGGTCTGCATCAGCTGGGTGTACGGTGAGTGGGGTGGAGTGGGGTGGGCAAGCGGGGCGGGAGAAAGACCACCGAGGCCAGCCAGGGGCAGGCTCTGCCTGGGGGAGGCGGTTCTCTGGCCCTCTGGTTTCTGTCTGTCTTTGCGCTGTTGCCCTGCCTCTTGCTGGGACATTTACCTGTGGCTGGGAAGCCTGGCATTTTCATGGCAGCAGGCAGAGCTGTAATGATGACAAAATGGATTTCCTTCAACAGTGAGAGAATGATCAGTAACAGTGCACAGGGCACCGTGTCCTCGATATGGAGGTGGCCAGAGGCCCTTTGCCACTGGAAATCTTAGTCAGAAGGGATGTTTATCGCCACTTAGCCCAATCCTCCACAAACTCCCACACTGCCCTTCCAACAACTAGGGGATCACCCAGACTTTGTCTGAGTGCTTCCACGGACAGGGAGCTCATCCCTGTCTTTTCGAGAGGGTCTTTTCCGTTTACGCATTTCTTTCCTACACTGAGGTGAATTCTGCCTTTCACTGGCCCCCGCCGGCAGCCTGGCCCCTCAGACTGAGATCACTGCAACAGCCAGGTGGTGACTCTGTCCTACAACAGGAAGGGGAGGAAACCCGATTTACTGAGCCAATGCGCGACTGCGTGCCAAGCACTCTGCTGGCTGGTCTCACGCACTTATAATCTGTGCAGGGGGAGAGTGAGGCTCAGAGGGTTCAGCCTCTTGCCTAAGCTCACATAGCAAGCAGAGAAGCCGTCGTCATACCCCAGGTCCCTCTGGCTCCACTGCACCACGCTGGGGGAACACAGTGCCAGTGTCACAAGGCTCAGGGTAGAGGTCAAGTGGGGGCCACACAGTCGGGCCTCAGGAAAAGCCATGAGTAGTAAAGACTTTATTTTGCTACCCTAAGCCTTCCCACTTGGGTCCTTTCCTCTGCGTGGAGATGTTCCTTCCTTCTCACCCCAGGCATCTGATGCCTTCCGATCTTCCCCAACTCCTTTTCAAAACTTCTTCTCCGAGAGGACCTGCTAAACTTGATCACAGCGGCTGTGAACGGCTGATAAGCCTTAACATGGTTCGCTCACCCGGCAATATCTGGCTTTCAACTTTGGCTTTTCACAGTCAAAGGAATGACTCTTTCATGGTGTGATTTCATGCATCAGGGATCAGTGGGAAGGTATTTTGGGTGGGAAGGTAGAGAGGCCCTCCAAGTATCTTTACCAATCAGTGATTCTTTACTTAGAAGATTGGCTCTGCCCAGAACTTACAGCAAATGTGGAAACCTCAGGAATTAAACAGAACAAAATAAGGCCAGTCAATGTTTTCACCAAACACAAATTAACCTTCTTACCGTGCGTTTTTGGGAACTCAGAGGTGGTTCCTCCGGAGTCTGGAATCCAGACCACCGCTCTGTTCCCAGCAGCCCTCCAGCCCTCTGTGAGTTTTCTGTGACACGCTTGAACGGGGGAGCCTTGTCGTTTCGCTGTTTTGACTTGAACCAGTTTCATCTCTGCTACCCACGTAAACAGGCGTTTGTGTAAAACACCCCTCTCCTTTGTGGTTAGGGCAGTGGGGTCTCCGTCGTAAGACGGAGGCAAGAGACGGCACTGGCAAGAGACGGCAGCAGCAGTGCTTGGGGCAGCCCCCGTCTGCGCCGCGCTCCCTGCCTCGTGACTGGAGTGCATCTCCGCAGGGATGCAGGGTGTCAGGGAGGCGTGTCTCACTCATGTGCCTTGTTCCAGTTTCCCTGCACAGGGCGGGGGTGAGGGAAGAGCACAGAGCCAAGTGGGTCTCTCCCAAACACCGGGCAGCTGTTCTCACCCTCTGGCTCACACTCTCCCACACCACGTCTGCTCAGGGGCGGACCGTTTCTACGACAACATTGAGGACATGATTGGCTACCGGCCATGGCCCCTGGTGAAGATCTCCTGGCTCTTCCTCACCCCTGGACTTTGCCTGGTATGTGCCCACCCAGCTGCCGCTCTATTCCTTCCTGCCCCCGGAAGACTCCAGAGATGAGGGAAAGGATGGCTCCTTCCCCACCTGTCCCATCTACCGTGGGGCCTGGTCCATTTCCCGTTCTCTGTTGGCTTCCCTGCTCTTCTTTCCGGGCCATTTCATCCATCCATGAGTAGAACCTTATCCTACCTCCTGCTCCATCCCTTCCTCACAGTGCCTCCCCCTTCTACCTGATTTCTCAGTGGTTGGTCTCCTGTCTGTCTGTGCTTCTCTTCTGAGCCCCTCCCCCCTTCGTATCACCTCCTGTCTCCATCTGTGACGTGAATGATGGGTTGGTCTGGGATTTGCAGGGGCTTTTGCTCCTCCAGCTTACAGACGTGCTGCGGTGCACTTGACTTGTCCTCTGTCCTCGGCTGTGCGTAGCTGCAGGGGAGGGTTTCAGTCTCTATGTCACCCATGGCTGCGCCTTCCTCCTCCCAGGCCACCTTCTTCTTCTCCTTGAGCAAGTACACCCCCCTCAAGTACAACAACGTCTACGTGTACCCGCCCTGGGGATACTCCATTGGCTGGTTCCTGGCTCTGTCCTCCATGGTCTGTGTCCCACTCTTCACCGTCATCACCCTCCTGAAGACTCAGGGTTCTTTCAAGAAGGTAGGTGGTGCGGGGGAGAGTGACCTCTTAAGGGAGGGCACTGAGAGAGGCTGGACGTGGGGCAGGACACACGGCTGGGGCCAGGGAGCAGACACATACTCTGTGGGGCAGCCCTTCAGTCTCACAGAATCTTAACGAGACAAACTTTGAAGGCCAGTCCAGTGGCTTTTCAGAAATGTTCTGAAAAGTTCTAGAGTCCTAGACCTGCAGAATCTGACCTCCTGTGGATGACCTGGGCAGGCTAACCAAGGGCAAACTGCTGAGAGGTTCAGGAGAAAACTAAGTCACAAACATGAATAGGAAGGTGCCCAGACACAGAAGGTTTACAGACTATAGGTTTCTTGCCCTCGGAAAACTGGTAACCAGCAAGCACAGTTCACTCCACACACAGGCTCCTGGCTGCTTTTCTTCCTGGGGACACACCCAAGAGGCTCCCTGTTTAGAGTTTGGGACATGTCCTCCTGGAAGGAGCTATAGCCAGTGACCCACAAAGGCAGAAATCTATCTTGCCTATAAATAATAGAAAACCCAATCTACAACAGTTTTAGCAAATAGGCTTATTTGTTTTTTACATTTCAAGAAGGTCAGAGATTAGGGCTGCCAGTATTTGGTTTGGCTGCTTAAAGAAGCCCGTAGGGACCAGACTTTTCCTGTATTTCTACACTTCCATCCTGAGCATGCTGTTTTTTCATCACCATGTTGATCACCTCATGGTCACAAGAAGGTTGTCATGATTCCGTGATCACATCTGCATTCGAGGCAAGAAGAAGGAGGTACCACTGATAAGAAGAAAAATAATAGATACTTATTGAGCACATAACAAAAGTAACAATCGGAAAACAAAAACAGATATTTATCAATCACCTACTCTGTGCCAAGCACTGTTCTGTGAGATGTGTTCTACTATTATTCCCAATTTACAGGTGAGAATATTGAGGGGATTAAATTAACAGAGGGGTTCCGTGAGTGACCTTAGACGGCACAGGTCGGTAGCAGGGCCAGAGCTGGAACCCAGGCAGTGCACACTCGTTCGCAGTCACGGTATTATTGCCTCCCCTCTCACCTCACATGGTTCATTCATTTACTCACGCACACGGTGAGGTGCTGGCCATGTGCTCCGCTCTGGGCTGGGCCCTGGGGATGCTCACACGAGGAACCTTGTGTGCCTCCCTCACCAACGGCTCCAATCCCTGCCTCTTCTCTCCACAGCGCCTATGTCAGCTCATCACCCCTGACTCCAGTCTGCCACAGCCCAAGCAACACCTCTACTTGGATGGCAGCGATGGCCGGGACTTTGGGCCCTCCCCAGCAAAGGAAGGACTGATAGCCGGGGAGAAGGAGACCCATTTGTAGGGTGTAGCCAGAGG